CAAAGTAAACAAAAGATGTGGTCTTAGTTTTGTTCTTGGTTCATTGTGGATACTAATAAATATCCTCAATCAAAAGCTATCAGTTTTTCACATTTGACTGTAACATTGTGATGCAGACACCAACAATATACATAGTGCTTTAGCATGATTCTCCATGACTAAAAGGACTATATAAGTACAGTCCATTTACCATAATTAGTAATATAATACTAATACATCTGGCTGAATTTTCAGACGCATATTTACCAGTGCCATGTCTTCCATTCCCTGATCTCCTCCTCGCCCTCGTCCTCGTCCCCCCCACATTTTGCCCTTCATCTTCTTGTTCTTGTTAAGCATCCCGCGCCCTCTGCCTGGTCCACTCCCTCTGCCTCTTCCCCTCTGCCCGACTGAAAACCATATTTTGGAGAAAGTGATCAATCTCTAAAGCTTATCAGATGAATGACTTTATGTACAGTGTGTAATACAAAATGTTTAAACTTGAAAATGCCTTCGTACACTGTTGTTGTTTCATCCCCCTCATGCCTCCTCTCTTCATCTGGTCTTTAGGATGACGTCCCTTGCCCTGACCTGGGGATGTTGAATCTTTTGCCTGCTGATACTCGGACATGTCATCGTCATAATCATCCTCCTCTTCATCATAGTCATACTTGTCATCGCTGTAGTCGCTGTATTTGTCAAAATCGCTGCTCTTGTGTGGCGGGGACTTCTGTGAGTTGCCGTGGCCTCCCTTTGAATCCCGTCCATGCTGGCAGGTCAACGGTCAAAGAGAAAAATGTTGCACAATAATGTTTACATGAATATTAAGTGACAGCAAGCCAGTGGAGCGGAACTCACCTGAGAGGGCTGGCCATCAGGTTCGCGGCTAGATCCCTGGCTCTTCCTGTTCTTGGGCCTTTCTGGTCGGTCGTAGTCAGAGTCGTAACTGTCAGAGCTGGAGCTGCTGGAGGGGGAGTGGTGCTGAGGACAGGGCACAACATTGCAGTGAATTTTCAATTAGTCTAAGTAGTTCACATTCATGCCTTGAGTGCAGTAGCACTAAGAGATATTATGTTGGAATGACAAGTATAAAGGCATCTTACTTTTTGTCTGTCACGTCTCCTCCTTTTAGACCTCCTCTTCTCTCTGGTCTTTTTGTATCTTTTTCTGGAGTGCCTGTGAGTCTTTTCTTCTTTCTCTTTAGCTTTCTCTTTTTCTTTCTCCTTGTCCTTCTCTTTTTCTTTTTCTTCATTCACCTCTGTAGCCTCTTTGTTTTCCTCTTCAATCCCAATCCCTTCATCATCTATTTCTCCATCTTCTAGTTCGCCATCCTCTCTAAAAAGAGGAAAACAGTCAGTACAATGAGTAAAACTGTAAGGGATTATATACTGTATTTTGTCAGCCTGAGCAAGTGATAATATGTTTTTCACATCATGAGCAAATCATGTGATGAGCCTGCTGTAATAATTAAATAAGAAATAAAAATGAAATTATACTAAAACTGTCGTAATGTCTTTTCCCTTCGATTGGAACAAAGTACCAAATATCATGCCAGACAGTTTCCATTACGCCCTAAGCCTTTCCTGTACTAAAAACATCATATAAATAATTCAAGGCTATGTCTTCATTTCCAGTGTGCAGTTATCTTATATATAACCAAATTACATTCAACTTTTCAACAACAAAGGTTGGATAAAATCTATGAAAGCCTCTAATTCTAGAAGCAAGGTTATTCATTTACATTATATAATGACAACCTGGAGTCAGAGACATGTGACGCATCATTTAGGCAAGCTTCTTTCCAAGTCAAAAATCTTTGTGACAAAGGACAACCATTACTGTAAAGTAAACTATTCTTACTTAAACAGCAAAATGAGATACATTTAGATGGAATTTCAACAGAGAGCATCTGGCTGAAAGGCCTCAGCACACCTGTCGTAACAATTACTAACATTTTACAGCCAGGAACTTTCAGCCAGGAAGTATCCGATGCTGGACACTAGATTACAGCGATGTTGATGTTTAAAGATACTGACATCTATCATTTTTATGATCGATACATAAGCATAATTCTGGAACATTTCTTTCTATTCGTTTGCTGCAGAAACCAGGGCCCCCGTGTGTCTGCGGAGACTTCCTATTTCAGACAGGGATGGTAAGTGTAAATTTAGTTGGTTACAACAATAAAGCTTAGCAGTGACAGTCAATGCAACCTTTTATAGCACCTGGTCCAAATTTAAAGTGACTATGATTGAAATATTTAAAAAAGAAATTATCACATAATGTGTTATAGTAGATGGCCAATACAGAGCAAGTATTTCATGTAAAAGTACATCCTAAAAAGTGGGTTTAAAATACCATTTCCTATCAAATTATGACAATTGTACACATCACCATCTCAGTGTTGATATTGTTCTTGTTACATGTAATATCAGCTGCTTTAAAAATACAGTGCAGGTAGGAACGTGAAACAAAATCAACAGAAAATGGGAAAATATGTCCACCCACTGATCTAGGGTTGTTTTCACAGACACTCGCTACCTCTTCCTATGACACCAGTGCAGCTCAGCTATCAACCTAAAACCCTCGACAGCCAAAGCTACCATAATGCTGTACCTAACCTTCACTTTTAGTCCTGTTAATGCAGCAAAGGCCTCAAGGTCCACGATAAAAAATTTGCCCACTTAAATATTCAGAATATGAGTGAGTAAAAATGGCCTGAAACTACCCTTACCTATTTTCATTTTTACCTGTAATCATACCTACCTCAAGACTGATAACAAATGTAGGCAAATACTAGGCATAACCATTCAGTATTTATAGAAACATGAGTTTTCCAGTGATTCCATAGAATAATAAAGTAACACCACAAGTGCAATAAAACCACAATCCCCTTACTCAGCACTACAGTAGTACCGAAAGTTCCTATTGGAGTTCAACATGACTTTTCTTGCCCAGTTTAAGAACTTAAATCAGAGGTCTAAATCTGTAAGAGGTAACAGGTGCAATCAAGCTTTTCACCAAACTAAACACTAACACCAGCTGATTCTTCTTCTTTGGTTGAAATCAGTGAAATCATCTGGTGTAACCCTTTGTTCACATGATCTGACAGTCCTGTTAAGTTTACAAAGCAATCACAAGGACGCAGGCATGGCCTAAAACCAGCAGTAGCACATAATCTCAACCCTGAGTGAACCCTTCTCCGTAGTATTGCCTTTAGCCCAGTAGGGGGACTACAGTACGAGGATGGGCGTGGCATTTACATCATAGTCATTTGCATAGTCTCCTGCAGATGGCAACAATGAAGCCATGAACCCATCCCAGTGCCACAACAACACATACGATGAGGTCTGCGATCTTGCATGGAAATGATCATGAATGAGTCTTGTCGACACGGAGATGGGATATCTAGGCTATTTTGGACAGCGTTATTCAACTGCACCAAAGAGGCATGCAAAGATTTTTGAGGGGGGAAACCGTGGAAATGGCTCTATACCCTGCAATTAATGGTTAAAAGAAGAAAACAGTAACACAAGCATGTAGACCCACAGCACTGAAACGCACAGATGAGCGTATTAACAATTGCACAAGAATGTTACTCGACCTTTCATCCCCTGCAAGCTCAGAGTCTGTCATGTTTTTGTCAAGAACAGGGGCTGGGGGACTGGAAACAAGGCTCACAGAAGCCATTGGAAAACGGATCTGCCTCCCTTCTCTCCGGTACAAGAGTGAATTAACACAGTCACTCAAGGAGACGTTGGGTTGTGAGAGATGCTGGAAGATTTCAGACTGGAAAAAACTCACGGTGTTACATGTCTCGACAGAGACAGTAAACAGACACTCTCCTCTTTCATATCAATGACGTTTTAACTCTGTGAGCACAGCTTGATACCCCGCTTTGCTAATGTCCCGTCGGTTGACAGCTGCCATGGTGAAATAGAGGAGACGGAGGGAGAAACAGACAGAAATGTAACCATGCTCGTTGATTTCAGCATCTTCATAGGTTTTCTCAACAGGGACATCATCTCAAAATGGCTTCTGAGTTCTGCAACACATTCCTCTATTATGTATTCCTCCACGTATATATAGTCTTGTCCGGATCTATCTAACTTGCATACAACAAACCCTCTTCAGCAATTGGTCAAACGTCGCTCGGGTAAAGAGAGCTGCGATTCTTATTGGTTCAGAGCAGTGCCAGTTAAGTTCAACATCTGCAACAATGAAGTGTATACGACGTTTAGTTTTGTCCTTTGTCCGCTGTTTTAATTCATGGCTGAGATTATTACGCAGTTATAATGACCCGAGTTTATGCCATTTTTTAAAAGGCAAAACAGCTACGGCTAAATGTCTTTTTTTAGTAGCGATGTATTTCTTTCCTTGTATTGTTACGCTCGCGGGCTCACGTACGCGCACGCACAACGTGCACGACCGTTGGACGCGCTCGTGCAGTCCAGTGAGGTACCACCAGGTGTCGCTCTGACTATACACGTCAGACCCTAACAGACTCATCCATACTTTGTTTGTGTAACGGTAAGTAGCATAATGCACTTCCAGCAGTGTGTAATGTGTTCAGAGAATAACAACAGGCTCAAGACGAATGCAGTTCCTAGTCTGCAAAACAATGTAGACTGAACAGTGAACTTCACATCATAACAGTGAACTATGTAGCTGTATTACAGATACCTTGGTCATTTTAGGTGATTCAGTCATCGACCTGTTCCGGAATGAACTTAACAATATTTTGAGGGATGTAGTTTTATTTTGAAGAAATCCAGTCATTCAATTTGCAAGGAAAACAATTGTTTTTACCTTTAATGGCACTGTAAACAAACATATATGTCCTACTATACTTTTACTTGACTTTATACTGTGAAAAACTTTCCTTGTCAGCAGACACAGAGATAGATGTAAAAAGAAAAACTTGTGAGTGTTTGGGAGTATCTCGGTGGGAGGGATTCTTGCTGCAGGAAATTTAGGTGGCGCGCAGAGCTCAGAGGCTGAACTCTCCAAGAGCACAGCTCCAGAGATAGGAGCGCATCTCTGTCTCAGACACCTGATGAGCATCATCCAAACTATTTAACTCTTTAACCTAATTTTACAAGCGATAACTGATTTAATCGAATCACCGAAAAAACAAAACAAACAAAAAAACAACAACAAGCCGACTAAATCTTGAAGAACATCACCAGGGGAAAGTATTATTACGGGACATTAAAGGATGGCACTGTCTTTTCGACGCAGGTGTTTGCTTTTGCTGTGTTTGACAGCTATCCAGAGTGGCCATGCTGCCGTCCAGGTAAGAGTAATTTACTTTACACTAGTTCATGTAAACAACTCACTTGTCCAATAAGATCTGCCGCCTGGAAAACTGAGTCAATAAAGTGTGTGACTATATCAAATCTTATTCTGGAAATATGCATACAGGCCTATTTGATGATAAGTAATTCATGATATCCTAATCTTGCATTTTAACTCCCAACAAGTAATAACATTGTTTTTTAATACTGGCTTCAATCCATTATGTGGAATTTTAAGTTTTGCAGGGTTTTGTGATCACAGTCTGCAATTTCCACTGGAGAAATGACTTCATACTTTTTGAATTTCAAAAAAAAGAAAATTCATTGTAGCATCTGGATTTGAATCCTCTCATGTCTTGTCAGCTGGTGGCATTTCCCCTTTGCCTGGGGCAGGTAAAAGGAGCAGAGAACTATCTAACTACTGCACAGGTCCAAACTAAGTGCACAATGTGAATTTTAATGTATTGAAATTAGTTGTTGTAGTACAAAGCCCTAAAAATGCCAGCGCAGGAATTTAAAGCATGCCGCACAGAGAAATTGTTCCAATGAGCATGTGATTAATAAACCCTCCTGAAAGGATTAGAGGCACTTTCTCTGAGGAACTTTGTAATGGCTTGACAAGCTTTCTCCCTCAAGTAACTGCTAGTGGCACCCATGCTGTTTTCAGTCTGCCCATTCAGGATTATCCAATGAGCATATGCCTTCCTACCACCATGCAAAATATACAGAGGAACAGCATTTTGGACTTAGGTCCCACTGACATCTGCCAGACAGCTTTTGTCCAGCTGTGTCTGCCACTGGAGTTGTGGTAGTAAGTGGAAAAGGGGTGAGGGAGAGAAGAAGAGAGATGGTAGGCCTTGAATATCTCAACTTGAGAGCAATGAGGTCTAATGGAAAACAGTGGAAAGCTGAAATCGTTTTAAGTAAAAGAAGTCATGATGAGTTACTGTATCATGCAGGCAAAATAAAAAAAAACCTGTCACTAATATGCTCTGTCAGTGTTACATAATGTATTTTAATATCAATGAAAACTCAATGAAAACCTTAACGACCATGTGCCTACGAATAAGATGGATTTAGTTTCAATGACATCATGCTCCACAGCTGCAAATTAATGTTTATTCATCGCTCATGTTTTACATTTTATGACCATTTAACTGAGAGAACATTTATTACTGTGCTTGTTTTTTCTTGTTGGAAAGTCATTGCATTTAGAAAGATTTCACTGGGACTCTTTTACAGCTCTTAATTCTGCTCATACTGCTCACGCTTTCTTCACAGACGTGCATGGATAAGCACCAGGTGGTTGGGGTGCTCCGTCAAATGGAGAAGTTTCTGAAAGGCCAGGAGATGCGATTTACCGAGGGTCTCAGGATCATGAAGTCAAAGCTGGCAGCGCTTCAGAACTCTGTCTCCAAGTTACCTCAAGCAGACCAGTCAGCTGGTGAGCAATAAACCGATAACAACAGTTGTCAAACTCATTTGTATTTGTCATCTTTACTAATGATAGTGGGAAAAGCACAGGTGTTTTCACTATACAGGGGTGTACATAATGTCACCATAATATTTCCTACATCATGTATGCATAAATTGATTTTAACACAGCAAAGCTGAAGCTCAGGTAAATAAATGAATATTATTTATAGAAGTTAGAAACTATTGTTTGTTTAAAGGATGTCAAAGAAGCATGTTTTTTTTCATATACTCTATATATTCTACCATAATCTATTTATTTGACCATTTGGCATAGATATTGTAAGTAGAAATATTTCTACATAAATCAACATACAGAATCAATATCTAGATTTGCTCCACACAGTAAAGTTGGATGTAAAACTATAAGTAGGGCATCATTTAATCTGTACTTTGGATTATTTTATGCATTTAGTTTCTTTTTACCATTTGTTTTTACCAAATGATTAGTCATTTAATTTGCAGTCCATGCTGTATAATGTTTCATACACATACTGAAGTTTTTGGTCAGTAATTCAGTGAAAGACGTTAAAGAAAGAAGTTGAAGACAATAAAAAAATTCCAAGTATTAAATTTACAACATTCTAGGAACACTCAATTGTTTGAAGCTTCAACAATTTTTTTTTGTGTCAACAAGTGACAATAAAGATCTTGTGTTAAGGGATTACAGATTCATCCAACAGCACGAGGCCATCTCAGTTACAGAGCTGGGTACTTGACTGGGGAAGTGGATTTGTGGAATTGTGTTGTTTGGCAGCAGACAGTCAGGCCAATTTGTTAGTGATGGACGAGTGCAGTCCATAACTCTGTGGAGAGTACTTGGCAAGACAGGAAGAAGCTGATATTTTACATTTGCAGCAATAAAGGGTCAATAAAATGAGTTGAATTAATGCACCACCTGCTTTAAGTGCTTATATCAGGATCAATTCCAATAGTATTTGGATTTAATTATTGTTATATTGATGTATTCTTTCCCTTTTTTCAAGTGATGTTCATACATATTGCACACACTGTTCTCTTGTGTAGCCTGACCCCATCCACAAGGCTGCAAAACATCTGACACAAAAATTGGTCAGAAAAAGGCACAATGAGACAGAATTGGCTGTTGTACTACAAACATGAGCTGGACATGATTGAGGTCTGGCAATGCGAGACTTATCTGAAATGTACTGTTTTCACTTGAGGTTGAAAGGGTAGGAAACATTTTCTCACAATCTTCCAAGTTGGAGGAAGCACAAACGTCTCATAAAAGTCAAAAATGTAATCCATTCACAATGTTATGTAATGTAATCACATTATATATTATACAAGCACTGAGCGTTCCAGAACATGCAACATGGTATAGCATTTGGCTGCTGATGTGATTCTGACTCAGTGGAATGGCCGGTCCTCTGCTGATTGACTGTAAATGAGGCATTTGAACCATTCTTTCCCATGAAGGCTCTCCACTGCCCAGTGACACGTGTATATCCCCAGGCAGAGAATGCCAGAGGATGTCAGGAGGCTTACTCCACATCTGACCAGCCTTCCTCTCGTGCTGTCTGTGTCTCTCCCACAGCTCCCACCACCTGCCCCTCCCTGGAAGCCCCAGCTCATGGAACCAAGTTTGGCTCAAAGTATTTTGTTGGACATGAGGTCCATTTCACTTGTTCCCAGGGCTACCATCTTGTCGGTTCTGCCACACGTGTTTGCCGGGACAATGGCACCTGGACTGGCATCAGTGCCATCTGTAAAGGTGAGTCTCACTGGGAGTTTACAGTTTATAGTTAACGTGCCTCAAATCCTCATTTCTGACCATGTGTGAGACAAGGTGAAATTTCATTTCAGCTACAATATGTTTTCATCACAGGATTAGGTGCTTTTCACCCCCAATATTTTCTCCACATACAAACACACATCCACTACCACCTATTGTAATGTATGTATGATTTGGTGGAATGTTTTGTGCCAGGGCTGCTATATCTGTGCATTATTCACTGCTGAGCAAAAATCCCCACACTCATTTAGGGCGAACTTGGCTCAGCAGTGTCTGAAAGCCAGGCAGAAAGGGACAGCAGCCCAGAAGCCAAACTGAGCTCCTCACACACATCCACACAGATAACATGCAGAGAAAAGAGCCATTCTTTGGAAGGGCTGGAGCTCCTCAGCATACTGAATGAAGCCCTCGTTAAAATGGCATTAAATGTCTCTGAACACAGAAAAACACCTGTACTGCATTCCACTGTGGGGTGCCTTCCCCTCCAGGTTTCTACTCCTCATGAACAGCAGTGGTTGGACTACTGTCCACCCCCTCCCCGTCCCCCCTCCTCTCTTGCTCATGTTTCCCCAGTTCTTTGACAGCAGTCCCACTGGACGGGGTTAGGTCCAGACATTATACCCACACCATGGTCTGATAGCACAGAAGTATGCTAAGCATGCAATTGATAGCCTCTTCAGCCTCTGCTGATGGCACTCTTCCAAAAATTCCAAGTGGCACACTCAGTCAAACATGTGCATACGTTTATTGACATTCATGGTTAAACCAACACGAGAAGGCTCGACTCTACACAGTATTATCCCTGTTCGTGTTGTTTTTCAGCCCAGCACAAGAGGTCTAAATTTAGTCATGCTTAAAAAGCAGCATTGACAGAGTCTGAAAACTTTAAAGTTAAAAAAAAGGTTTAAAAATAATTAGGAGATTGAAGTGGGTCTTTTCATGTTATGGCCCAGCGGTGGCCCCTGGGGCAAGCCAAATAAACATTAAAGGGATTGGTTGTCATCCAGCATACTATGGCTTCAGCGCTGGAGCTTAAAGAGCAGCAGAGGCCATCTGCACAACTCTTAGAGCTGGCTACAGAAGCAAAGATCATGAGGCATGATGTACTATTTATCCATTGGTTTCCTAATTTTCACAGAACTTGCTTTAGAGCTGCCAGGAGGTCACCCATCAGGGTCGTCTTACCTTCTGATGTTGTCAACACTTTGCAGTTTGTAGTATTTCTTTATTCAGTGAAAGTTTATTTTATACATATACCTATCATCTTGTCGGCCTCTTTTTTATTTATTATTATGTTTTATTTATTTTTAAGTCAACACACTTAACATTAGTGAGTGATTGAATGGATCTACACTTTACACCGTACATACAGTATGTATTCAGTAGCTACAAGTATCACAACATTTCCAACACTGCTGTGCTCTTACTCACAGTCAAAGGCATTTACAGCAATACTAATTTGCTCATGTTAAAGTGGAGACCATAAAAAGCTTGTAAAGAAGTATATATGAAGTTTGCATGAAAACAAGTAGAACTGCTGTAAACCTGAGAAATATTTATGGGAACTTTTTGAGAAGGTGTTGACAGCAACCTACTTCACACCTGTTTGTTTTGCTGAAAAGAAAAGCCTTTAAATCTTAAAAAAAACAAAGGATTTTATTATTTTTGTCTTATATGTTTTGCAAAGGTAGAAAGTTATGAGTAAAATGTAGCACAAGTCCATATAGACTAACAGCAACAACTTCGATTTTTAACTTTGAAGATGCAGATGGATTTTCTTGAATTACACTTTAATAATGATAGTCATTAGATTTCATGAATAGAACTGCTACTTTTCCGCAAATGGAATAAATAAAAGGGCATCGCTGACTTGCAGTTGACATACTGTGTCCATAATTACAGTACCAGTTTCTCATTCTGAAGTATCAGTTATCAAATTGGGTGGACTCTCATTCCCGCTCTATGGATGAATGGTAGACAGGAAAGACTTACAGAGGCTCTTTCATTTGTTTCTTCTGTATTTTTTTTACACACTCAGTCTTTTGCTTTTCAGTTAAACCTGAAGAAAATTCTCCTGTAGTTCTCTTTTCTTCATATTCTTTGAAAAGTGTTTCAAACAGATCTTTTTTCATTATGTTGTTTGATAAATAGAACTGCAGACATTTCTTCAGCCAGGTTTTTTTCATTTTCATCTCACAAATATGTTTTTCAGAAGGAAGTAGCTCTAATATGACTGGCTAAAATATATGTGTCAGTATGGTGATAAAATGAGTATATGGGGTTCAGATTAAAAATGACTGGAGATCGCTGAAGAAAGCTGCAAGTTTCTTGACAAGTTAAGATTATTCTCTCCAAATATCTCTCTCAGATATAAGCGAGTGTGCAAGTAATCCCTGCCAAAATGGAGGTACCTGTGTGGAAGGTGTTAACCAGTACAAATGCACCTGCCCCCAGAACTGGAGTGGTTCTCACTGTCAGCACCATACCCAGACAGGTCAGTACCACAAAAATGAATGCCTCAGACTCAAACTGAGATCTACCACTGTGAGTTTGTGTGTGTACAATGTGTTCTGCTCTGGGTCCAATAGTAGTTTTAACTTTCATACTTTCATATTTTCTTCCCCTAATGCAGCACCACCTGAGTGGAGTGTTATGAACGATCCAGCGTTCAGCCGGAGACCTCGCTGTGCCCAAGTGAACCGAGCCCAACACTGCAGCTGTGATGCAGGCTTTCACATGAGTGGCACCTCTGACAACAGTATTTGTCAGGGTGAGCTGTAATAAGGTGTTACTTAACTGATCCCTGTAGGGACGTTCTCCCCTTTTGCTGCTCCTCCTCACGGGGAGGCAGGGTCAGCTACAGAGCAGTTCCCCTCAAGCTGGCCGCCCTGCTCAACGACATCGCCGCAGGGCAAACAGCAGATGTTAGATCCTTGAATACCTGAATCTTTTACTCCTCCAGAGATTAATATGGTTTCAAATGGGTGTAATCTGTAGAACCAGTCTGTGACAAACAAAATAATCCTCTCGAGAGGTCACAAGCTGATTAGCATTCATTTAGGTCACAGTTCAGTTGTTTTTAAGATGTAATTGGTTGAGTAACATTTTGAAATGAGAGTTTTCATGCAGTTGCTCCAAATGTGTTTATGTCCAAGAAAGTGCAAAGTGCAAAACTGAGGGACTTAATACTGATGACGACAACATACCTTGGTTCCTGTTGTAAACTGATTGACATGTATGATTACCTATATCCCAAATACCTCCTCCCTCCAAGTCACTTCTTTCTGCACAATGCCTTGGCCTGGTCATGTGATGCATGGTTAAGACGCACATGTACTGTACATGCATTTCTTTTTCTGTTTCTTGACAGATGTAAATGAGTGTGAAGTGTACCGGCTGGACCAAGGAGGGAAGCTGTGTGTCCACGAGTGTGTGAATGTACCCGGATCGTACCACTGCTCTTGCCCCACCGGCTACAAGTTGCTCCCAGATGGGCGGAGCTGTGAGGGTGAGTGACAAGAAGCAACAGAGGACAAAGGCTCATTCACAGGGATCCTGGCCACAGATCTGGCTGGGTATGTAGCTCCAGAGAGGAATAGCCTACCTGTGATTTAGAAAAACGAGGAGCCTTTTAGCAGCAGAGTTTTTAGTTTCTGCAGGGGTGTCTGTTGGTCTTTGCAAACCTTGGTACCACTTTCATTAGCACCTCTGAAGCTTACAGTGCTTGCCAGTGGAATGAATGACCTCACCCTTTCCCAGCAGAAGGGATCTTTAGGACATGAGGCGTTTGTGGGAGACTAAACTAAAAAACCAAATAAACAATCACAGCACAGCACCCCCTGCTCAGACTGTGGTAACCAGGAAGCAGGGAGTCAGTCTGGCAAGTCTCTCTCTCCCCGCTTCTCATTCTTACATGCCTCTGCTGTTTTGTCTTCCAGATGTGGACGAATGTTTAAGCCAGCAGCACAACTGTAGCCGAGGGACAACTTGTATCAACACGGGTGGAGGCTTTCAGTGTGTAAACCCCGAGTGTCCCCGTTCTCATGGCAACATCAGCTACGTCAAGACATCTCCCTTGTAAGTGGATACAGCACAGGGTGACCTGTTTGTCTTCTTTATCATTTGTTCTGTCAGTGAATACATGCAGAAAAATATAAACCAGGACCACATCTTCCCTGTTTCAGCAGGAAATTGTCATCAACTTTCAAATGACCCTATGCATACTAAATCAGATTCAACTGTGAGATACTAATGGGCGTGGTGGTGAGAAAGATCTGTCATGGAAGAGGTGCATTTGAGCAAGGTGCTACAGCCTCAGGTTCTCCAGCTAAACCACTTTCATACAAGTGTGGACCTATTTTTGGTAGTTCTGACCATCATTGGTATAACATTTCATAGAAATAATATTGAAGTCACCATGGCAACTGCTGAGATCTAACAACGAAACAACACCACTAACAGCCAAGTTAACCAAACTTTTTTTTGGAGGAGGAATCGAAGGCGGCCACTGAAACCATAACTAAAACTGTTATAAACATCCATCACAGTTTCCCCACCAACCTCTTGGTTCAACTTTGACTGGCTGTACCTGCTGTAGTTGTGTGTTCCTGGTATTACAGTGCAATGAGGGACATTTTGGGTGCACTCACTTTCAGTTTTACTCTCAAAGAAAAGTGCTTTAGATAAAACCCTGTCTGCTCCAGTGTCTTGCCCAATCATTGTAGTGATGCCTCCATGTTCCCGGATCTTACTTTAGTCAATACAGTGTGACCATGACTAACAGAAATGATGACAATAAAAAAAAGAGTTGCGGTTATTGGTGTATTATGGTGATACAAATCTTTCCTGACAAAGAACGTGCATGCTCAGCAGAACTTGACTGAATTACGTCATTTTTTGTTCTTTAAAACCACTTAGAACGTCTGTGCAAAGGTTAGGAGACATTACAACTCCCATCTCACTGTTTGCCAGTCATCAGCAAGCTGCCTTATTTAAAAGTATGAAACAAAGCTCTGTCTGCTTCTAGTGAACCATCAATGTGGTGAAATACTACTCCACTGCCAGCAAAGGGCATGGATAAATGTTTAGGAAAAAAAACTTGCAACAAGGAAGAAAGAAGGAAATCGAGTAAGCCGTTAGCTATGTCCCAATTCTGTACTACATATGTGGAGCAGGTTCTGAATTTTTAGTTCATTCACAATGAAAAAGTGAGTGACTGAATGAAATATATTTACAGGTGTCAGTATGCATATTAAATCCTTGTGGTATGTCCCACAAAGCAGTGCTTAAAGGAAATAACTACTCATAGCTGCAAGAAATTAAAACAAATTGCAGATGATGGTGTGATGAAGGAAGATCTCAGCAAATAAAACTATTCAAAATTATATCTTCGGAAAAACAGTTCTCTGTCTTTCTAGTATGATTGGCAGTGGCAAAAAAAACTCCCAAAATCGAATTATATGTAAATTTGTATATACATTGGTACATTATGTATTCTTATACATTATGTATTATTATGCAGAGAGCTAGACAAGCCTAGTGTTAGTGAGATGAGAAGTAAGATGGGGACCTGCAGGGTTTATATGCAGGCAGAAATGTTGTCTACTCTCTTTCTTATTGTTGCAACAAGTTCTGCCCACAATAAAAAAAAGATTGACAGTCATGATTTAATACTTTAGAGAACTTGACCCTCAAATGTGCTGTGTGTATGTGTGTCATTTCTCTTTAGTCAAAAAGAAACCGTTTTGAACACTCTCACAGGGATAGATTAATTATGTAACCATTTCTCCATGACAACTGTTAAACACATGGAGAATGGAAACCATTTACCACTTTGTCCTGTAATGGCCCCGGCTTAAAATAGCTGCATTTCTGTCTTGCAGTCAGTGTGAGAGAAACCCCTGCCCCATGGACAGCCGTTCCTGCCACCAGGCTCCTAAGACCGTGTCCTTCCACTACCTGTCTCTGCCCTCCAAACTGCAGACTCCTGCCACGCTCTTCCGTATGGCGACTGCAGCAGCCCCCGGGCGCACCGGTCCAGACAGCCTGCGCTTCGGCATAGTGGGTGGAAACTCCCGAGGCATCTTTGTCATGCAGCGTTCAGACAGACAAACTGGCGAGCTAATACTGGTCCAGCAGCTGCGTGGACCACAGGAGATCAGCATTGATGTGGACATGTCTGAGTACAGCGACCGCACCTTCCAGGCCAAGCATGTGGCCAGGGTTCACGTTATGGTTTCACCTTACAACTTCTGAGAGCAAGGTTTGAAAGGAGGAAGACGAGAAACAGAAAGGTGAAGAGGAACAGGAAAGAGTGCGTAGTGGGCACTGATTTTACTGATACTGTTTCTTCATCCCCAATCAGAAATTCATTTGTCTGAGCAGGCAGTCGCAGGCCAACATTTGTTCAGTGGCCAAATTACCAAAAGAGAGAGAGAGTGACAGTATTTAAAGTGACAATAGACAACATTTCAACTGTTCAGCTATCAGCCTTGCTACTGTCCAAAACAAGTAAGAATTCCAATTTGATCTCAGTCCTATGATTAAGGCAGAGTAAAACATCCGGTTGCATTAATAAGTAGGCAGGTGTTGTTATTAATGAATTCAGTAGAAATAAGGCCAACTCAATGTCAGTTCTTTCCATAGTTGGACTGTCCATCAGGACTACTGGGACAAATCCTGGTGGGCCAGTGGACCTTAAAAAAAATCCATAAAGTTTTTAATGGCCCAGTCAGTCTCTTTACCGGCCTTCTGTCCAATCTCAGCGGATGAGTCCAGGGCTGAATTTCTGTCCCAATCTGACCATGGATCTCCCAATTAAGTGAATGTCCATCTGAGGTTCACTCCTGTTTTATCTTGGTTTCCATCTTTCTCCCTCTACGCCTCCTTTGCCTCCTCTTACAACGGGGCTTGTGTAGAGTTTCCACAGTTGCTCTGGTTCTTCCACAGTCCATTCCATTCCATTTCCACTACCCGAAGAAAGCTACCAATAGCTACTGGGTAAAACAAAAGCACTATCCTCTTACTTTTTTTGTTACGCAGTGGCAGACGCACTTTCTTGCTGTAAATCAAGTCTTCATTTTTCCACAAAATTTCATTCTCAGACAAAATTGCAATAGAGAAAGCAAAGCATATAGGAAAACAATCTAAATGCTGATGATGTCATTATTCTGTAGCTATTATATTGTGCAATCAACATCAACTTCATAATGATAAGTTAAAATAAAAAAAGTTGTATTTTCACTTTAACAGTTATGAATATAACAATATATAACAATATATGCCAAAACACATCACAGATGCTTCTTTAAGTAGTGTCAGTATGATCTATGACTGATGATGTTTGACTGAGTACGTCTCAATGCATGGAGACGAGCTAAACAAAGGGGAGGGATGGATAACTATTTTTGTCATTACTGTTGCTCTACGTTTGTATTTTTATGTCCATCATAGATCATGTCTGAGCAGCTCAGGGTCAGGCCCTGGGGCTGATGCACTGCCCTCGCTTTATTGATGATAAATCCCTGTAAGACATTAGTGCTCCTGTGGCTCTAATTTATTGGAAATATTGTTGCTGGTTTTTACATTGTAACATACTGTGCGCAACATGTTTATCTTCCATCATATACTGTATATTTGTTTTTTTTGTACTAGCTTGCTTTGTTTAAGGCACCAGTCATTATACTAAGGGAGTTTTTTTAAAACAGTAGATGCAGTTCTGTACCTGGGCATATTTCTTCTATTACTCATATTCTGTATGTTACCCAGAAATAGTCTCATTATACTCGAAATCATAGATGATTTGGCTAGCTTGCCAATGCACTACATAATTTATCTGGAATTTTAATTGTCTCTGCATAACTGAAATAAAGTCAGTCCAACATTTCAGTATTTGTTAGGACTACCTCACTTGATACTGAACAGTGTGTTCCTGTAAATGTTCCTGTGGCATTGCTTGTTCTCATTCTACATCCATTAAGAGTGAATTTTAATGAGCGAAATGCAAACCAACACAGTTGATAAATGAATGCTGGATTGCTATAAAAGGTTCCCTGAATGAATGGCTAAAAGGTTAGAGAGGAAGAATGTGTGCTTTATAATATTACCAAGTTCACAGGCAATACAAGTCAAAGTAGCATTTCCCACATGTCTTGGAAACAAAAGGAGTTTCACAGTATTTCTACTTGACTTGAATACAAGGAACTATTCGAAAACATATCTCAGTGTGTCTATGTGTTACAGAAAGAAGAGACTAATGTTCACCACATGTGTTCTCTTAACTTCCTTCACTCCTCTCCCGTCTCCATCCAGGGGTTTACATTGCAATAAAAGGGGCCAGAAGAGCTGGATGCTTTCAGGAGGGAGTGGATGGTGAGAATCAAAACACATGCCCTGACGGCACACATTGCTTTGAAAATGACAACATGCCTTAATGGCGGGCCTAATTTCCTTCAGTAACCAGACCAGAAGCACTCACATTGCATCCTTTGTTTCAGGCTTGTGCTCAGGCTGTTTGATGTTCACATGTTTCATCCATTCTCAGGCAGAAGGATATTGCCAGAGACAATTGGAGAGCACTGAGCTACATAACACAAGCCATTTGCTGGAGAGTAATGATAAAAATATACAGTGAGGGCCTTGAGGCAAAGCCAGTGTAGTGTGGTTTACACGCGTTTTATGTCGGAGTCATAGAAACACGATGACTAGACTCTCTCTGGTCTTCCTCTCTGTGCTCACTGTGACTTTAGTGCACCATCCACTGAGGCTGGACAGAATACGAGAAACACACATTCAGTCGGTACGCACAGTGCAGTAAATAACAGTACAATGAAGCTTATTATTTGTTCTTGAACCACCGCTCCCCTTTACCAGTGTAAAGTTTCCTGTGCCTTGTTAGCTGTCAGTGCTGAACTGCTGGTTGAAATGGGCACAAATACAGCTAAAGTCTGGTATTTAGCTGCAGGGCTACGGTGTGTGTTTGTCCTTCCCGTGTAGCTGGACTTTAAAGCTCCTGGTCACATGCCACCCACAAAAAGCACATGCACCTTTCCACAAAAAGGAGGAAACAATCTCCACATCAAGAATTCTTGAAATTCCAGAGGCAGTAAAAATGGTGAGCTACAGTACAGTTTCCTAAAACATCTCTTAACTTTGCCCCCGCAAGCACGAAAGCATAAATCATAGTCAAGTGAAACTACAGAAATATTTTTTATCTATGGATCTCCATCTGAACAGAAAAGAGACACGTGTGTTGCTGGTGGATTAGCCCTGAATGAAAGGCAGTGTGGAGGAATTTTGTTCTACTTTTCTAATGCTGGAGAGGGGAGAGGTCGTCTGTGGATCATCTTTCATGTGGGATAAATGTTTGAAGGAAGTCCAGAAATATGTGAGAGTAATAGAAAAGCAGAATGAAGGTCCCTTTGCTTTGGTCTCTGACTTTGAAGTGGCCTATAATCTCCCATTACAGGCCATAATAATGACATATTTATGTTTGATGCCAAAAACATACTATTTGATGCAGTCTCATTAGAAGACAAGAAAACAGTTGTGAAAAAGTAATAAATTAGTGTAGCAGGTTGCTCAGATGTAAAACTGTCAAAGAGGAAGCCTCTCTGACCCAGGTTCTCCACAGCTTTTATCAAGAAGAACGTTTTACTGTTTGTCTGCACAAAGAGATTGTGTTGGTTTTATTTGTGAAGTCAGTGTATGGCCCCTGTTGTTTGAGCTTTTAAACCAGGTACTGTAGCAGAGGAACAGCTCATTTCAAAGTCTGTCTTCTTAAATGGAGAAGGGTACAAATTCTGAAACCGGTGTTTGAGTACCTGGTTTAAAGTTAATTTAAAGGTTAAACCAGTATGGCCTTCACAAAACATGTAATGTTGTCATGACAAATAGGTTGGTTTGTTTGTGGAGTGTATGTTGTTTCAGTCTTCTTAGTCACAAGGGTATAAGGAGCCAATGGCTTGAGGAAAAAAAAATAATCAGTGTTTATATTTACAGCAACTGGGCTTCATTCAAATGTTCCTCTCAGCCTTTCAGCCTCTGCATTTCATTATCATGTTATCATTCATCCTAATTTCCCTCACAATAGCCCATTCATGCCACAGTTTCTTCTGTTTTCCTCTTGAATCTGATATTCTTGAGACAGCTTTAAGAACAGATTTTTAACTCCGTAGTAAAATATGTGTTTTTATTGCCAAATTAACACTGAAAATCATAGATCAGGAAACAAACATTCTCTTGTGTTCTTTTCATATTTAATCTGAGTGTACACACTTCCTGAGAAGGAAGAGAGAAAGAAAACAGCTGGTATGAAAAGTTTAAGCCCAGTTCCTCATGACACTCGTTAAAAAAAAACAAAAAAACAGTCGAGTCATATTATCCAGACACCTCTGCACCTGTGGAATTATGAAATAACAAGGAATGAGCCACGACCCATCTGTACAAATAATCAAGGTCCACTGCAGGTGTCTGCAGTTTTATATAACAGAAGGACAGCTTGCCATCATAAGCACAATTATTCCATGTTTCCAACCAAAAAAAACAAAACAAAAAACAGAACAGTGACGTTATAAACCCATTCAGATGATCAGCTTGTGCTTGTGCTAACCACATAACTTATCTAGTGCGTCATATTATGGGATGGCTTAGACAGACAAGAATACAAATCCCGCTGTTACATTTACTCAAGAGAACAAACATGAAGATGACGACAGTGTTTTGACTCCAAAACTACACCGACAAAAACACCATGCCATCCATTTTCAGAAATGCACATAAAAAATAAACATATTAAGACTTCTCTGAAAGATGAATGTTACTAAGGTGTCTGTGAAACAAACACAAACACTGCAAAGAAACACGACGCAAGCTGCAGTTTTGCCATTTTGCCTAATACATCGAAAGATTGTTCAGGATCCAAGTCATTAAAAAAATGGAAGCACACATGTAAACACACTTATAGAGTAAACGTGGATGAACACACACTTTAACAACTTATAAGTACACTTGAAACACAAATAAATAATGACAATTTCCATACTCCAACTCCATATCAACATACATACAGTATATTGCTCCTTATTTCAGAGGACACAAACTCTGGGCCACCCACACACATACAGTAGATTTAAAACACGACTGCAAACCCCAGCTCTACACTACTGAACCCAGTAACACTTCAAATTACACATATCACTTGTTGACGCACCATTCCTCTCACCATCACTCACACATCAATAATGAGGATGCTGGGTAGTTTCAATCCGAGACATGAACAACACTTTTATACATGTTACTCTCAGTTTCCTGAACAGATTAGGCCTCATACAAAAACTACATGTAGGCACAGCTTTGATCTTCAAAGTGCATATGAGCAAATCCTATTCAAAGTTACAATATTTGAATTTTTCTCCGATTTGAAATGCTGGCAACAACGAAAAAGTGTGCATGGTCTCATGAAAAATACAGAACGTTTAGTGAATACCTTAACTTTTGCAAACTTGACAATTATATATTTATATATATAAAAAAAGATCCTGCTTGAAATTAATCAAACACACGGAAGTCAAACTCTCTGTTTCTCTTCTGGCTGAAAAATAGCTTAGATAAATCATTCTTACTCACTTGCTTGACATTAACCGAGAAAAAAAAAGCCTTTTAATGATTTTTCTCCACCATAAATAAGCATCTAATTTTAGTACAACCAATACCCTCAAAAAGACACATAATGTATATTTGAAAGTATGTTCATGCATGAGGCCCACTGTTCCTAATTCTCTGATAAAATAAATTCACATCGACATAACAGAAATAAATACAGCACTTAATATAAAATGAAACATTCTCTTTGGAAAGAAAGGCTCAAAACTGATCATATCAGGGAAAAGGTGAACCAGTTGGTCGGTGAAAAGACAGTCTTACTCTGGCAGAGTTCTGTGTTCTTGAAAAGTTGAGGAAATGAGCAGAGGTCCTCCTAAATTGTGACCTGCACCACCCTGCGAAGCAGCAGCCATTGAGAAGGATCCCCTGAAAAACTTAATGGCACTCCACCACCATCCGACTGGAAATCCTGGAGGAAACCCAGCTGCAGAGTCAGGGGACAGCTGCTGTGTTCTCCCTCCATGTCAGCTCAAGGCTAGAAGTGTTTTGCCTCACTCTAGCTTAGACATCTCATACTTTGTTGTCATGATTTCCTGGGAAATAATATGCAAATATAAGCTATACATTTTATATTTTTGCACAGGCAATCAAGTTTTCACTCTCAGACAGAAATCCTGTTACTATTTAGACTTTGGAGGACGCGATACAACGATGCACAGCCCTGTCCCCCCCTTAGATATGCCTGGTCAAACTTTTCATTCTCGCACAGCACTTTGTAATATTTGAAACAACTGGTCATTAATTTCACAAAGAGATGGTCAAAGCAGGCAGTGATTTTATCACTACAGCTTGCAAGTCGACTGAAAGCGCTGTCTCTGGCTGACTTTAACAGACTTACTTTAAAGGGATAATCTTGTAAACGTTGTCTTAAATGCATTTTATGGCTACATACATGATGCAATGCCAAAAGACTTGGCATGCTCACCAGCTGATATACAGAAATAAAGAAAATACTTTTTTTCTTGTATTGCAGTGTAGAGATAGTATGAAAGGAAAAAACTCAAGAAAATTCCCCATGGGTTGTGTCCCTACGTCCTGAGGTCAGTCTCCATATTGCCACTAATACAGCAATCAGATTAATCCCAAACACCATCAAACAAGGCTTTCTGTCTTGCTGTTTTTGAACAATGTTACTCACCTCCACATATCTAGACTTTAACTTTCTCTAGTTAAAGAAGTAAGATGTTGCGTGTGAATCACGTTTTGTACATTAAAAAAATACTGTAATCCGTACCTCATCTGAGTCGAGCAGGACTGGTAGAGCTCTGCAGTGACAAACAGGACCAAAGACAGACTGTTAGAATCACACATGCCTTGTGAAAACACCATGCTGAATTAATAAAGATAACCATGATATGATGCTTACACATCAGTAAGAGAGCTAGGAATGTTATCCTCCACCCACTTCAAGTCTTCATCCTGGACAAGTAGAAACGGAGGATGAAAAAAGTAAATACTGCCATCTGCTGAAACACGGGACTCTTGAACAGTTGCATTTCTTCAACTTAGACAGATCCTCTCATCATAAATGCTAACAGTTTAATACACCACATCAAATTAAACTCATCGGCACAGAACTATTACACATCAAGTGTGAAGTTGTGTTACTTACTGGGTTTGTTTCTGCAGGCTTCACTATGCCATTTGTCTCATTTTTAGTTGCTCTCAACTTAATGCCATCAGCTGTGAATTAAAATTAAAATGCATTTAATAAATACATTTCAAATTTAATAAAAACACAGGAAAGAAAAAGAGAAATAAATATAGTAAGACTTTAAGACACTGAGTGAAAGTAACACTTCTATGATGTTACCGTACCAATGTTTGAAGCGGCGATGAACTCCTCGATCTCCTCATCGTCAGAGTCATCGATCAGAGGTGTGAAAGCATACCTGTGGACATTCAATTAAGTGATTAATAATAAATTACCAGGAGGGAAAAGATGAAAGCGCCCAATTCAGTTTACGCAATTGAACTTAACAGCCCTAATGTACTTCTTGCCTTTGGTTGTTTGCAGACGGTCTCCACAAAAACATTATGACGAGCAGAATGATGGAGAACAAGAACCTCCAGAAAGCGTCTTCCACCCACAGCTCAATCCAATCCTTTACTCAAAAACAGGTTCTATTATCAACAAAACACAAACCTAAAATTCTATTTTTTTTCTTTTTATGATGAACATGCCAAACCATACTCACAGATTGGCAATCTGCTAGCCGAAATTTCTTTGCTGTCCAACCCATGAAAATGATAGAAGCTGAGGGAAGAAAAGGGCAAAGTGAGATACACAGTTTAAGATACAACTCTGGAGATGGTCTGCTGTATATGTGTGTTCTTACATGTTTTATATGGATGAAAATAAAATAACTAGAAATTCTGAGCTCTAGCAGAGAGTGTAGTACATTCCATTATAATCGTACCACTTACCAATCACAGCAAATATGAGTGTGTTTGTAAAGTGCCTGTAGAGAGACAACTTGACAGGGTTTCTCCTCAGCTTCAGAGTCTTGATGGTTTGTGCCAAACTGACAAAGATGTTAGTGGCAGTCAAGGTAAACATATGGCAGACATTACACAGACACCATATGACATTATGACCTCTATGTGTGAATATATACTGTAGATCCGTGCTTTATATTTCTTTCCACTCATACACATTTATACATTAAAATTATTAGGTACATCTGCCTGTTTATGTGGTTGTGGATGTGGTTGAAATAACCAATCCTGTAAAATGTGGCCCTCTGGTGACTCAGCTTTGTAACAGTCTTCACAATGAGGTGGAACCAGATATTAACGGCATAAATATTATGCTATCCAGACTACAGTGTCTAGGTGTACCTAAATATGCGGACAAATTAAATATATGTATATGTTTTGATCTTGCATGTATTTTTTTATTTGATTTTATTGGCTAATTCATAGTAACAATTTCCCAATTGTTGTTTCAGAAAATGTAGAGTATTAAAATGTAAATGACATTTATCATAATAGAGCATTTCATCCATCCACCCGAGCAGCACCATTATCTATGTAATCTTTAAACAGGACCACCTGTAAAAGCTGGTGGTCGGACATGCAAATCAGTCACTGTTGCCCACTCAGGCCAAGACAGTCCATTAATGGCAACGAAAATGTCATTGATTGTGCAAGAAAATAAACAGTGATTATGGGGAATTTCAAGAGCAGTTCAATCACCCACCAGAAAAAAATAGTTGTTACAAATTTCAGTAGAAGATGTATGATTAACGTGTTTCTTCAGAGATGCAGCACATCATTCTGCAAACTTGTACTTGAAGTGGTCTTTCACTGCTAATTATCTGGGAAAGGAATGAGACAGCTGCAGATCAAACTATCTTGGTCTAATTTGGGCTAATGTAAAGGAGAGGAGGAGCAGAGGGGAACCACACAGGGAAAGGTTGTGGGTGCACAAAAGGATATCCACCAGCATAGAGAGGAATCAAGCAGAGCCAGGGGAATGTTGGCCAGCAGGGCCAAATCAGAGTCTTTCGCCTGGAATGGAGGACAGAGCAGGACCAGAGGACACAAGGAAAGAGGTGAAAAAAAAAAATCACAGATAGGATGGGAGATTAAAAAAAAGGAAGCAGAGAAAGCAAAATATAGAACCATTCACCAGTGCAAAGAGGAAAATAACCAATCATCCCACCCGGAAGACAAGAATACTTGAGATTACTTGATTAATTAACATCCACTTCATACACACTGGAAGGATATGAACCAGATGGCACAGGAGTCACACACTGCCAGCACAATTTCTGTAATGAGAGCGGGGCCATTGTCTCGCCCCTTTTTAGGCCAGCAGCAAATAAAGACAATAAGACAATTTGTGAAGTTAGTTTTACTTCAAAACAAATTCTGACAACAAACGACAGAGCTGTAGTACTGCTAATTCTAATTCTTTTTTTTAAAAATCAAACAGTGATGACACAATGAGACAACTCAGTGATCATCAGAAACTTAATCAAGTTCAGTTCTGATCATCGAATAGTCGTTTGTAATTTGTCAACTAGCACAAGCTGGTTACAGCTTCTCTGATTTGAGGATGTGTTTGCTTTCCTTTGATTCAAACTGTTGTTATTAAATATCTTTGGGTTTCTGACTGTTTGTCAGATTATATAAGCAATTTGAATGTTTAACTTCTGATGGGAATTTTTTTGTTGCTGACATTTTGCATACATTACTCACCCCAGTAATCCTCAGGACACCTTCAATGCTAGCAAAGGAAAAGTAGAGGATGCCGAGCCCCACGACTCTGTGCATCACTGTCCCCAGTCGAGGCCTAAAACGAATGAGAGAGAGAGAAAAAAAAAAGTTTGTTGCCTGATTTTCAATAAACAATCAGAATGTACGTATCTCTGTGTACAGATGTATGCTGACATACTTTACAATGCCGTAGCCAAGACTGACGATGATGACAAGCAATCGAGCCAAAGTCCTCTTAAGGGCAGAGACCAGCTCGGCAAAGATCAGTAAGCCTGAAGCTGAAGGCAACGGTAACGGTGAAAAGAAAAAGAATTTTAAAACCAGACATCTTACTATCTCACATTAAAATGGTAAAAATATTTTTGCGATGCTCACAAGCAGAGCCGACAGCATTGGTGTTTTCATATTCAGCGCAGAAGACGGCCTTCTCCACCATCCCGAGAAATATGACCCCTGCTATCCAGAACTGGATCCGCAGCAGATCCTTCCAGTAGCAGGCTGCCCAGGCAAACCACAGCAGGGCGTACAGGATGTACATTATGCACATCACCATGTAGAACTACAAACACACAGTGAGGGGATTAGTCTAAAAACACATATGGGAGCAGTTGGTCTTCATTAGCTAAATTCCACAAAAATGAACAGTTCATCCAAAAAGATCCTCACAGTAGCGACTATTCATTCAGCTTCAGTGAGATTTGGTAAGGTTCGGCTCTGTCAGCTGAAGCTTGCTTCAATAGAGTGAGGCTCAAAGGTTGTATATATTACTGTCTCTTTAAAGCAGTTGACAAATCTTTTGATGACTTTGTATTGTTGAAAGTACTGTAAATAACCAGTTCATTTATACCATGCATTACATAAACAGTAAAATACAATCCTCCTTTAGAGCCAGGAAAGAATCATGGACATTTAATATCAATGTACATATATTTTACAAATGGGTAATTAATGTTTTGACATAAATCACAAAAATTAATTCCTCGCATCATGTACTTACAATCATGAGAGGCCATTCTGTGATAGAAATGTAACCATGGCTGCCTTTCATCACCACATTGACTGGAAAAACAAAACCCCGACATTAAACAAATGAAGTCTGAAAGTGATTACTAACACATTAAGAATTTTGTTTGTGGTCGTGACATGTTCTGCAATCTGACTCTTCACTGCTGACTGCAAAACAGTCCAGCTTCTGATTAGGGAATTCATTTCTGCATTTTCAGTCAAACCATGCTTTCAACTGAATTCCATGGGAAGTAAAATAATACAGGGTGATAATGTTCCTCTATACCAATCACGCAGTATATAAGTTGCAATGATGTGGTTACCTCTGCAAAAAAAAATCTCACCTGTTAAATTCCAGTTGGCATCCTGTTTACTGGACACAATCTTAACAACCAGCAGATAAGGCCCGTCCTTCCATGTGGTGGCTATGATGTTGTCTTTGATATTTACACTGCCGTTCTTCAAGGTGCTGCTGTCATATTCCTCAGTAAGCCACCTGGTGTCATTTTCATCCTGCAGTGTTACAAAAATAACACAGCGTTCGTCACTTTTTAAAAAAATATTTCAATACTATGTATGAGGAAACAACACGCTAAACAAAACACATTTCATTACATCATAAAATCAAAGAGCATTTATGTTTTCTTACTAGAACTCTGCCCTCCACTGGTGGAGTGACTGGACGTGGATCTGCCTTGGCTTTCTGGAAAAACATGGCTGTTACTGGATGCTATAATGCAGAAAATAAATAATAAATAATAGACAATAAAAGCATTTTGTAACAAACATACTTTGAGCATTGGAAAAGAGCGCAGTCCGTTGTTACATGTCATGGGACTGGGTTTGTGTTCAATGTACTCTCCTTGTCCGAGGGGATTTGGATCCAGGCTCTCCCCACGACTCAGGGCTGTTCTCTCATACATTTCCTACAGACAGTTACATGTAAGCATTCATAAACAATTAAGTCTAGACAGACAGACTGTCTGATAGTGTGACATTAAGCTTCTGTACTTACTTCAATATTGTTGAATTCATTGTGACAGGGGTTGTATTTTAAATACCAGTGAATAGTGAAGGTCACCTCCTCAGGACAGCCAAAAGACACAACTGCAAGATTGAGATGCAAGTGAGGATAAACACAAGGGACAAAAAATTCTATGATAGGCCATGAGCACATTTCCCATGCCTTACCTTCCAATTCAATGTCAGTGTCTTTATACATGGATTTCTTTAACAGCAGTGGCCTTGATGTCTGCAGAGTGGTAAACAAAGTTTGTGAGCTGGAGTGCAACCAATGATGATTTTTTCTTATCAAACAAGATATGAGTAGATTGGTGAACTGATTAATCGGTTAGATGGGATAGGTGGTCAGTGGTTAGTACTGTCTGGGGTTCAAACTCAATCAGGCTGGGCTCTTTCTGTGCTTGTGTGGAGGGAAAAAGATATGTGGATTAGGTGAAGTGGAAACTTTAATACTGTGAACAGGTATGAGTGTGTATGTGTGTCTGTCTGTATGAGTTCAATGACAGACTAATGACTTCTTTGGGTTGCACCCTGACTGTCAGCACACCTAATACTGCAACTAGATGGAAACTGAAACTTCTTATCACTTAAATTATTGATCAAGGCCTTCCAGTTCTCCTTGGACTGAGTCTATGATCTGTGTCTTAATACAGGTGAACAAGAGGAACGATCTTACTAAACAGGAGTGCGTAATTTGACTGTAGATCAACTTTCAAGGTGTGTTTTCATGTCTAGTACAACAATGTTGTGATGCAAGTTTGTGATCGAAGACACAAGCATGTAGATTAAGAAAACCTGAACACAGAGTTCAAACAGGGATGTGGATTCTCAAGTGTTAGTCGACAGATGGCCGTATTAGGGTTTCTCTCGAGAACTCAGCTAAATAGCAGAAACCCTTTGGACAGCTGTCTTAACTTCAGCTGAAGCCGACTAGTTAGCCGACAGCTAACCTTCAAGTGCTCATCAGCTTTTCTTCTCAGGGCTGACTGCTAATTAGCTAGCTTAGCAACATATTTTTACTGTTTCTGTTTGGCACACTTTATCAAAGTCTATCGGGGATATAACGTCGCAGTCAAGAGTGGATAACACGATTCTATTCATGTAGGGGAGGTTATACGACTGCAACCTTTCTCACAGCTGCTAGCGAGCTAGCATAACAAGGCTGATGTAGCTGACGTTAGCTACCCGGTACTGTAGTTAATCAGATACTCACATTTACAACTGTGATTCTCCACAGTCCTGTCTCTGGAGCTGCAACAACCGCATTTATGGTACCGAGTAAAAATACAAGAAGGACTCCCCATGGACAGAAAACTCCTCTGGTCGGACAGCTCCACGTCCTCATCCTTACTGCAGCAGCCATGTTCGTAGTGAGATCGGACACTTCCCTGCAGGAGGCGCCGTGAACGCAACAGCTGGAGGAGGAGCCTCAGTCAAGACTGTACCTGTGGTGTCACCTGCTGTCCCAGCAGTGTCAGACTGCTCTCTGAACAATGTCTTAATCTGACATGAAGGGCAGATCTCCAGATTTACTATCAGACTTGTTCAACGGCATGCATTCAAGTGTGGTTTTAACTTGCAAACAGAAGTGACGTTAAACAGGCAACTCAGGTATGTTTAAACCTGCTTAAGTGACTCTCTTCTTGTTACCTTAACTGAGTGTTCCTGAAAAATAAAATTGCACAAGGCACCTACTCAGCTCTAAATTCTTCTACTTTTTTTTTTTTTTACATGTGAATAATTTGAGCTTTTTTTTCAGTTCTATAATTATCAGTGTGATGAAATGTGAGGAAATCTTAGCAAAATCTTTCCCAGTTTAATTATCAAGTCTCAGATGAGTCAATAAAGCATTTATTTTTTACAGTATACAAGATCACTTTATAAATGTTTTGTACATTTCTATATTTACATTGCGACAAAGAATTCAATACAGTAAACACTTTCACAGTTCAGTGTATCTTAAGCTTATGGGAACATGTGCATGAACATGTTTGATGTTCACACACATAGACAACATTCCTAACACTGATCTTGGCTGTCCATGTAAAGCATATAACAAAAAAGGAAACTTCAAGGTGCTCCCAGTGCAATGAGGCAAAAATATTTAGTACTGATGAATCAAAGTGACAGTTTTATTACAGTTTTAATCTGATGGGTACCAATTGTTACAGCAGGAAAGAAGTGTCACTTGAGCTGTGATCCATGCCAGTCACATCAGTAACCATGTCTCCGTTTGCTTGACTTAAAGCATCACTCGACAAAAGAGGAGTGTCCACTGCAGGAGATCTCAGGGAAGGATCAGAGGAGATCACCACCACATAACGATCATCGTTCTCATCATCCTCGTCCTCCAGGCTCCCGTGAATGTCCGCAGTGACTATTGAATTTTCTGCTGCCCGTTGGCTGCAGGAAGGGGATGAGCTGAAAACAGGATGTTCTGCAGGAAGTGTTTCCCCATCTGGGTCCTCTTCAGGAAAGCTGGTGTTAATATAGATGATATCGTCCCTGCTGAAAGACTCTGGGAGCTTTTCCGTGAGCTTTTCCAACATTTCTCGCAGTTGTGGAAAGAAGGGTCGGTCCAGTGGATCAGCCCTCCAGCAGCTGTACATGATCTCATACCTGAAAAAAATAAATAACAAATTTAATAAGATGAATAATTGAATAAATCTTGATGCTTAAAAGCCTTGTTTTGGGATGCAGCTGACACAACTAGAGGCATTCATTTCAGGAAAATCTCCACTTTTGTAAGTTGTGTATTCAGTTTTTTTACTTTCACTGCAGATGGCAGTGATGAGCAAAGCCATAAACTTTTAAAAAAGTGAAGGTTTTTGAGGCTGAAGTTGTTTCCTGGACTAGATGAAAGTCAAAACATTATCTCTTGTTTATCACAAGTTCAAATGGAAAACGTCTTCCAGGTGCTCAAGTTTATCATGTACTTTGCTGCAACACAAAGGAAAAAAAGAGAGCACTGCATACCAGGGGGTTATATAATGGAACTTAAGCTCCAAAAGCTCCAATACATGCAAACAGCAATTTAACCACAAACAATTATATAAACTGTTCGTAAAAAGCTTGAATTTTATTTTTTAAAACTGTCAATATATTAAGCTCCAATTTCTAATTTTTAAAATCACACCCATTCAGACAAACGAGGCCCCGCTTTACTTTCGTAGTCTATCTTGACTCAGTTACCTCCTAAAAAATCCAGCCCAAATTCAAGATTTGTGTTTCGAAGAGATAACACTCACAGATCATCCAAACAGTCTGTTGGTTGCTTCAGTCTGTTTCCTTCAACAAGGTAGTCGTAAATCTCATGGTTTGGGATGCCAGGGTAGGGCGTCATGCCTCGTGTAGCAATCTCCCACATGGTAATGCCAAATGCCCACTAGAACACAAAGAACATTAACTTCAGATGCCATTACATCATGCGAATAACTTATAGTGCATGCCATGAACTGTCACTTTCTCTGCTATTTAGAAATACATTTACTTCCCTGAATAAATCCCTTACCTTTAAAGTGCACTGACCTGAAATGCACTAAAACATGTGAGAACTGTGAATCTCCTCAGCCTCTCTGTCAGATTTCATTTCCAGTTTTCATTTTTTATGTTACAGAAGTGGGAATAAACATATCAGGTGCATTTTTGTCAACAACACAACAGATGGCTTAAGTTTTTTTTCACCTGACGCTGGATAACCTGACCTAAAAATACCACACACTGACAAATGATGCGAGCAAGACTGTCAAAACGAAATCTTTGCCACACCCTAAAAGAAAAACTGGGTGCTGAGTAAATTCAGTGTGACTGCTCTGTGTAAATCTCGGAAAAAAGGTTTTGAAATTCATTATAGTACAACTGAAAGCGACGAATGAAAGGGAAAGCGCAGACGAAGGGTCAAGTTCTTCTTTCAGTGAGTGCACATCGTTTCACAGTGACTATTGTTTCTGGAAGAGAAAAAGTGTGTTTTTTTTTTTTTACCTGACACATTCACATATTTGCATCATGACCAAAGACTGACAATAGAGAACAGACAGGAGCAGATGAAGGTGCTTACCACGTCGCTTTTCACAGTAAAAACTCTGTCTGCCAGACTCTCTACTGCAATCCATTTTACAGGCATTTTGGCTATTCTGCCCTGCCTGTAATAATCTCCACTATAGATCTTCTTAGATAACCCGAAGTCTGCTACACACACTGTCATGTCATCACGCAGCCTGTGAGGAAAAAAAACAGGAAAGGAAAATCACATAAATAGTCCTAGATAAGTTTTGCCTTTCAACTAAAAGTGACTAATACAAATGTTTTTGTATCTGCAACCTACATGCAGTTGCGAGCTGCCAGGTCACGATGAAGAAAGTTACGCCCACTGAGATACTCCATACCAAAAGCAATGTCAACCATGAACTTCAGGAGTGTCTGAGTGGGCAAGAACTGTGTAAAAAAAAAAACAAATTTCAGTTAATATTATACAGTCTCATAATAATAACAATGATTATATATTATATATGCATTTCAGTGTTGGCTGAAATCTTGCCATTGGACTCTCTCCGAGGCGTGAGCGCAGCAGGAAGCTATGCAGATCTCCATATTTCATGAATGGCAGAATGACCATGGGCTTGGGAAAATTTCCTGAGCCTACTTCCAAGCAGACACCTAAAGAGGACAAGTCAGTGCACACAAATAATGTAAGGATGTGCAAATGAAGATGGACCAGGGAACAGAGCAGAGGAGCGGGATTCTACAATACTTTAAAGAGGTAATGCATCACTCCTACCGAGCAGTCTGATCACATTAGGATGGTTGAAATCTTTCATGCAGGCCGCCTCATTCAGGAACTCCTCAATCTCCCTTTGAGAGAAGCTCTCCACTGTTTGAAGAAAGACACAAGAGTTAAATGTTTGCAAGTGTACTTGTTTTATAGTTTAAAGATGATCAAAGGATGTATTTAAGCTCACATTTCATTGTCTTCACAGCAACTTTTTCTGATGTTCCATCTGGTTGTCTTATATGTCCTTCCACCACGGAGCCAAATTCACCTGATGAATTACAACAGATCATAAATACTTGATAGTCTGCACAGTGTGTGTTATTATCTGTATCAATCTAGATATGATAACACTTCCTCTGCACCCTCAAAAATGAATGTTCACTCACCCTCTCCCAGGATCTTTCCTATCGAGAGCAAGGTCCTCATGACCATCACGTCCTGAAGTTTGGCCTGGAGTTCATCACTAACACCAAGGTTCCCAACTGTAGACAGGACTCACTCAAGTCATTGTGCATGATAAAAGTGTGCCTTAAACAGGATAACATAAATGTCTGCATGAATATTTCCACCACAGTTACATTCGAGAACATACGTGTGACTCCTATGGCTGATCGATTGTAGGATCTCTGGGGTTTGTACTCCACAACAGGCTGCGGCTTTTCTCCACCTCCAAACACCCGCCTGCAAAAAAGAAAAAAAAAAAAAAAAAAGAATTGCTGAGCGGTGAACTAATCCTTTCACTGAAGTCTTCCTAGCTCTGTAATCACACACACACACACAAGCTGACATTCAGCTGCAGAGGTGGTCATAGTGAGGCAGCCCTCTGAGTTGTTTCTTTCCTGGATGGGATCAGATACTGTTTTCCTATCTGAGCAGGAGCCTGTGACACATTCCTGTCCATATCCTGAGTGGCAAGACTGAGTCACAGACTTCATAGTAATGAATTCCAGAGGATTAACATGTGGCTGTTGTCTTTTTCTGCAGCTGCACAGTTATTACTGGTGACAATGGTGATTAAGAGGAAGGAAAGGCAGTTTATTAACATAATCTAGAAGATTACTCAACACCCCCAGGTGTCAATCCCAAATGAATAACAACATCAAATCTTTTGTGTTTTTAAAATCAGAGTAGAGACTGAGTGAAAGGTGAACCATGCAGAAAAATGGGTCACAAATACTTCAAAGATAAAGCAATCAAACTTGAAGCAACATTGGTAATTAAAGGTATACTATGTAACTTTTCTGCATTAAAAACTCTACATGCAAGTAGACCTATGTTATATATTTTGTCCAGTTGTGTACTTACATTATCCCAATTTTTGACATCAATGTTCAAATCATCGTAATGGCCCGTTTCATTTGGTCGCCTGTTAGTGGCGTCAGATCCTCCAGATTTTTAACGTGAAACTGGTTTATTCTGTGTTTTAATAACTGGTATATAATAAACCAATTTTGATGAACTGGTCTGTTTATTTGGAGAGGAGGACACCTCTGCTGATACTGCAGCTCCTGGTAAAAGTCTGACCTATTGACACTGAAGGAATCCTAACCGGGAGAAGCTGACTGTAATCACAATAGTTGTGGTGAAGACAATAACGCCCATGATCCCACACTACATCATGACGTCACCAAACTCCATCTTTTGTTATCTCTTTGTTTGTGAGACTCCTTGTGGCAGAAAAATACATATTGTGCGTTTAAATCAACACTGTGTTTGCACATAATAGAAAAGATTGAAGTCAGCATACCCAAACCAAGATTCAGAAGTCCTGTGGTGTACACAGATACCCGCCCAGAGGACAATCAGCAGAAGACAGATGCCACACACCACACCTAGCACAACATTGACAGAGTCTGGAGCCCTGGTGTCAGGGCTGGAAGATGGGGACACAGGTGATTCTGAGACAGAGAGAGGAAATGACGAACATGGTCAAAGTGAAGAAAAACAATATCCACCAAATGAGATATCAAAACCCCAAAACTGAAGATTACATATCTGAGTTACATTACAACCGAAAATGGAATATTTAATTGCAGTAACGTTCTGTCGTTTTGCATTAAAGGGGCTGTTTGTTATTTTTCTCTACTTTCTTGGTTGGGTGATGGTGATTGTCACTTGACAAGAGCTTTGGCCTTTCTTTCGTTTACAAGACAGGAGTTATAATACACCTTAATACACCACAGAGTTGCCACCAGAAAATGACAAAACGGGCCAGGGCTCGCTGGTTAGCGTGCTAACTTCAGCAGAACAAAAGACATGATCGAGTCAATAGTTAACATTGGTGTTTCTTTCCACCACTGGACACAGCTCTTGGTGAGTAAAGGAATGAAGTTTGATGCCGAACTTGCAACATTTGTTTAAGACTGGTAAGTAAACAGCTGTTAATGCTAATGCTATGTAGCAATAGCAAAACTTACAGATAGATCCTTTAATATATTTTGTTAACTAAAATCAATTATAATGTAGCGGTAGAATGTTAGCATGCTGATATTTGCTAATTAGCACCAGATAAGTGCAATTTGTCCTGAGTGTCCTTTCCACGGACGCTACCATCCCTACAGCCACGCCGCTAGCAATATGGCTAAATAAAGCAAGTAAATAGTTACTGGTTCTGTTCATGGGGCAGTATAATAGTACAATAAATCAGTTGAACTACGTTGGCGAGTTTATAAAGTTGACAATTCCAAGATGAACAGATAAATCAACAGAGCAGCTTACTGTGCTCTGGCACAAACAGCCAGACTCGTGGGCTGACCATGCCGCTCCCTGCCTGCGTGCATGCAGCCACCTCCACGCTGTAGGTTGTGTTGAATTCCTGTACAGGTACAACGACATCGGTGGTGTAACTGTGGGTCTGAAATGACACACAAAAACAGAGATCATTTAAATGTGGATTGTGCATAGTGTCATGGTTGGATTTCTCTAAAGACAAAAACAAAACATTTCCACTTAGTCACACATCTGTACCACAACAGAAAGTAAATTGAAAAGTTCCTTAAAGCTATTTTCATGTAGTCACTTAGAGTATGAAACCTTTCTGGAAAATCCCGGTGATCTGCATTTATTGTATATAATGAAAAAGGGAAGGAGACTAACTTTCTGGATAAGTTCATGTGCTGCAATGGGAGGGAACATGTGACAGACACAGTCCTGTATTTCACAACACCACACGGTAGCATCTGGGGTTCCTCTGCTTTGCTAATGTGCTGACAGTCTGATGGGGAATGCTGAACCCATGATTAACGGTCTGGCACGTCTGTGGCCCCAAACAAAAGGCTACATGTGGTTGTATGCTCTCACAACAGCAAATTCTCAACAAATTTTGGGAATCAACCTCAAATTCAAAAGCAGATGATGGCATTACGACTTCTACCATGAAACATAGAAAATTATGAGCAACTGATAGTACTATTTATTCTTCTAATTCCTTTATTCCCCTAATTCATCTTTATCAGAATTTACTGTGACTTTTTCACAAAAAGGATTTTTCTTAGCAGCAGGTGAGCCTGAGGAGTCATTTCCAGAGTCTGCTACTATTACAAAGTCTTTGTTTGTAATGACATCACCATCTGACTGGAAAACACATATGGATATTTGGGACTATTGTACGCATCCCATTGTATTCATATCCCATTCAGTCTGTGATGACTCATGGCCACGTGCCGAATGAATAAAAACACTGAATAACAGTTTTCACAACATCAGGTTCCTTTGACACAGACAGGAAGGCCAGGAAACACACTATTGTACTAGAGAGCACTAATGCAGTCACAGAAGTACAACTACGCACAAACAGCATCATGGAATAATGCACCGGACATTTGATATAAACAAGAAAGGCAGTTATTAAATTAAACAGTGCCATTTCTTAGAAAGTGTGTCTAAATTAAAAAAAAGCCACTTGCTGTAAATGACTTTCCCTGCCTTGTCGATTCTTGAGCGCAGTGGAAAAACTGTTGTTCTCAGATAATAGGGAAGCTGACCTTCTGCTTCAGTGGGCCGCACAAAGGGAGGGTCACATATTCCCAACATACGAGACTCATTCCTTTCATATTTGTCATACATTAGTAATTGTTATGGGAAATAAAAAAAATAAAAAATCTCAAACACACCTCAAAGACAACACCATGAACATGAGTATGAGTAATTGCATACTTTACCTGATATATAATACACTGTATATGAGGGAGAATATACTAATATACATATAATCAGTATAAATGCATGTGTTTAATTTTTCTGTGTGTGTGTATTTATATCAATGAGGTAGACTAAATAACGGAAACATCTCTCTGTATAATAGAGTAATAAAGTTTAACAGCATCACAAACTAAATCCTCCAAAATGACCCTAAAGTTCAAATGAAACAATTTGAACAAAAACTGAACATTATAACCTTCATGAAGGAGGGTTTATTGTATTAGACTGTGTTAGATTGAGCTATCCAACTGAGTGTACACTATACTAAGATTATCTATCTTAAATTATGGCATTGCTGACAAACTCACCTTTTTCTCTTGTGAGCCATATCTGACAATAACATCATAACCGCGCAGGATGCCATTTATCTTATCATCCGGCGGAGGCTTCCACCTGATCACAAGCGACGACCCGTTCAGCTGTAAGGTGACGTTTCGGGGATAAACCGACGGCACTGAGAATGTGACAAGAAATAGGAAACAGGTGGATTGAGATATCATTGGGAGTTATAACAAACTCAAAATACTTCATAAGGAATGCCAACCTATAAAAACAAAAATTAGAAAAGAGAAACTAAAACTGTCCCTCCATTGAATTCTTTGATTACAGTTTGAAATGTAGTCACTTCCTGGCACAGTATATTCAATCTCTCAACTAAAATATCCCCTGTGATGGCTTTAGGAAGGAAATTGAAAGCAGCTCCACCCAGTAAGAATTTTGTGTTTTCTCAGAGAGACCACTCCTTTTTCCTATGTGACCCCTCAGGAAAACAACAGAGGTTTAGTGGATACGATTTCTGAAGGGAACTTGCCACAAGTAGAGTAGATAGTTGCGCAACTTCCGTAAAATCCAGTTATTACATGCTGCAACTGAAGAAAGCTTACAATAAGCACATTTTGCATGGGAATGTGGTAGGCTACCTTCCTAAACCTAAACAGGATTCTGCAACAACAAGAAGGAGGCTTCGTTAAAGTAACTACATAAGATGTGGTTGATGGTTTTTAAACCTCCTGAAATCAAACAGCCGGCATGTGTATGTGCTGGGATGGGTTTTTATTTGCTCTTGCTACAAAATCTGCTGCAATTTCACTCAATCTGCTGGTGCATCATCAACTGCCAACAAAATTCAATTCAAGTTCCCACGCACCTCCCTCTGTGGTGTTGCTCTGGATCCACATGGTGACAGGAGAGGCTCCCACCTCATTGCTGCAGGACACACTCATGTTGTACGACGTCATGGCCTGCAGCCCGGGGACTTCATACTGGAAAGGCGGCACTGTGACATTGATGAACCTAGTGGTCATCACCTCCCCCTTCCGCCGACTCACCTCTTTAACCTTAGAGGGAAAAGTGAAGAAAGTGTGAGGATCAATCTGAGGACATTAAACAACAGCACTGTGTGTGCAGATGCCAGGCTTACCCTGATGTGGCATTTGGTGACTGGAGAGAAGCCATCGTGACCAGGGCTCCAGCTCAGTATCAACTTATTGGGCCGACTTTCCATCACAGTAACATCAGACACAGGACTAGGAAGCACTAAAAAACATCATAAAAACCCTTATTAACTCCCTAATATGGAGGCAAATGTTCAGCATGCAGAGCACTGAAACTTGTTGGAATGTCTAACAGCCCCACAGGGATGCAGTTTTACCTTTGATGTTGATATTTGCTTCTCTGGAGGTGGCGACACCCTTCGAGTTGTGAGCTTCGCAGCTGAACTGAGTGTACTTGTCCACACCTGCAATTGACACATTGGAGGGCACAATGTAGCACTGCAATGTTGCATGAATTCAAAACAACCAATCCTCAAGGCCGTGATAGCGCAAAATATTTCAGGAAAATTAAGGTCAGCAGTTCATCAGGTCTTACTTTACTTCATGCTGGGAAGAAAAACCCTAATAGGAAGTCAGCAAGACACATTCTCGTCATGAGGATGTACATTTTGTACAGACTAACTGATTTCTCTCTGTGTCGAAGGGGAATCTGGGGCAAAAGTGCAATGTCAGCCTCAATGGAGAAGGAAGACTGACGTTGATACAAGAAGCAGATAGGGATGACTCACTTTTTTAGTACAACCTCCAAAGTTCTCTCAACAGTGCCTCATGCACTAAGCTCAAATTGAGCCTCTCCAGTGTGATGTACTGTGGTAACAAACCTTTTGCTTGGTCTCTTTCCCTGGACACACAATTCCCGTCTTTCAACAGCCCCAGATCTGCCCAGTTAGAATGGGACTGGGACAGCTGCTAAATAATGTCCCTTTTGTCCTCTGTTTTCCAGTGTCTCTATCTCGGAAACCTTTCCACAAAGCCAATCACAGAGCAGCCTGTGCGAGATGACTGGAACCAACTTGGGATGTTTTGTTTACGTTCTGCAGAATATCACGACCTCATGAGTTCGCCTTCCACTGCTCCAGGGCACCAGGGTAACGAGAGTTTCACTTTTCACTCAAACACTGCTCACAGTCCATTTGTTTGCACAGAGATAGATCCCTACTTAAAATAGGTCTGATTTAATCATTTGTGTAAGTTATGCTCACATCTGAAAGAAACATCTAAAATAAATGTTGGATCACACAGATCAAAATCGCTCAATAAAACTTATGTTTAGGATTGCGGCAGAAATGTGCAAACACATCTGCACATTTGCTGCCAAGCTGTGCAAATGTAATTACCGCATGCCTCATTTCAAACTGCATGGCAAACAGAGAGTTGGGGCACGGTGGGAACTGAGCAGGTTTGACTGTTGTCCCAAATGAAACTGGTCACCCTTATAATTTGACCAAAGAGCAAAGGGACAAGAGGAAAAAGTTCGTAAATGTCACAACACCACTGGCAGCTTTATGTTAGAGTGAAATTCCCCAAAATCTGTCTTTTGAGTTTGGAAAACTCAGCCCCTGTCAGGTGGAGACGTTGCTACATATAGTTTGTTGTTTCCTTTCTCTGGCTACGGTCACGTTAAAATGAGGCCAGGCACTACGGATTCCTATGGTGACAAGTTTTCATTGTGGAAAAAGTAGCATAATGTCCACATAATCTCCGATTCCACCTGCAGCATAATCCGCTTCTCTGCTGTCTAAACACATGAACAATATGTTCCACTCATAATCCTGTTAAAATATGGTAACAGAGCTTCAAGGACTAAGATGCAACATGTGTTTGCATGTACTCAGCAGTTTTTTGTTAAAATAAATGTTTATTAAACAGAGAAGTGGATTTCGATGCAAACTGATCCTCTGACCCAACACCTACAGTAGAGTATCAATCTGAGGTCAAACACAGAGATTACTCCCAGTGTGTCTCAATCTATTTAAGACGCACATTCTTTTGATGTCATATCATTTTTGGAAAAAGGGAAATGAACAAAAGTCAAGCACCATTTCTGTTTTCGCTGTGTTTGGCAAGTATATTAACAACAAAACGCAACAACAACAATGAAGAAAAATAAATAAATAGATGGGTTGGCCTCTCCAATGGAAACATGAGAAAAGATGGGAGGGATTCAGTAAATGCAGTGTAGATCCAGCAGCCTGTAATTATCAGGTTTGGGAGCGCTCCAGCTTACTGAGCTGCCTGAGATGTCTATGTTATTTTTCCATTTTTATATGTAGCCAGCAAATATAGCCTCAAACTACTACTACAACTAAGCCAATGCCTTTTCACTTTGCTCCAGTCATTTCTTCTGTATTTTCAAGGCTGAAATGCCAAACTTGTGTTCACATTAACCCAGATCTTCTGCTGCTGTCCCGAGACAAAGTAAATAATGACGTGCAGATAACCCATAACCCAAATTAAACTCACTTTACTACTTCTGCTTCTCTTTAATAAACATGCAATGCCCTCAAGGATAAATGCATACCAGTGACATTCCTTAAATAAAACCTACAATCATTTACCACTTCACATGACAAAAGCACTCTAATAATATCATGGAGTGCAGCCTTCGGCGAGAAAGGGGCCTTAGACTCTTGGTATGCATGAGGTGAGTATGCAGAAGAGTGGGTTTACACTGTTTTATTGTGCCAATATTTGATCCTGCACAGAGCCCTGGTAGCTTGCAGCCGGCCAGCCTCTGTGTCCAGCCCCTCCCTGCTGGGTAGTGGGCCGTTCTGTCAATGAGTTCTTTGTCTCCGAGGTCAACCCCCGAACAGACTCCCTGTGCAGCCTTCCATCCCCAGGCCAGGCCCAGGCCCTTGCACATGCTGCACCAAAGCACAGCTCTGAACCTTTAACCCCCTCAGCTTCGGGCCGTATCACCACTCACTGGCCGCAGCAGGAGAGCTCAGCCTGCGGCGAGCTGAAGATGAAGGGTTAGAGCATTCAGAGCAGAGCGGTTATGCTTCTAATAACAAATGTTTGCTTTCAAGGAGAGGGCAGTTGAGGCCATAAAAGGAAAGTCCACTTCAAAAAAAAAAAAAAAAACATTTTGGCAACAATTTCTCTAGTTCCTCAAGGGTTAATACTATATAATTGCTATTTATAATTTATAAAGTAGTATAACATGGAAATAAAACCTGAACTGATTTTCTTACAATTAGTCTTTACTTACAGAGTATTCAGGAAAACAAATCACTCTTACTTTGATGGGAGCTTTAATGTAGAGCTGACTAAGATATAAGTCGACTGACAGACAATCAATTGCTAACAATTGATAACTGATTTATTGCCAAGTAATTTTTTAAGCTAAAATGCCTAAAATTCATCGGTTCCAGCTTTTAAAATGTGAATACGTGTTGGTTTATTAAACTACATATCTTCAGGTTTTAAACTGCAAAACCCAAAGATGTTTGAGAGCAAGATACTTGAATATGTAAACTGATCCTTTGGGAAACTGTGACAGACATTTTTTAAAACTATTTCTGATACTTTAAGGAACAAATAATGTAAATAATTGTTAGGTGCAGCCCTATTTTAAAAGCAACAGTTCAAAATGTTGGTAAGTAGCACATTTGCATTATTTAAGCTAACCAACTGCTAGATATAGTGGTATCAATCTTCCCATCTGACTGTCAGCAAAAAAGTGAATAAACGTGTTTCCCAAAATGTCAAACTATTGCTTTAATCAGACATACAGCCGTATCACATTGTATTCAGTATACAGCTAGCAGAGCTGTGTAACAAAAAGCACTGTCCATGCGTGAATGACCACTGTTAACCATTCAGCAAAGGAGCAGGAGGCCCCAGTGACACTGAGCGTGGTGGTAAATCTCACAGCAGTAAGCAGGGTCCAGATGCTGAGGCAGCAGAGACGAGGCAGACTAGAAACCATCGACAAAGTGATGCAAGCTGAGTAAGACCACCTGTGCGCAAGAACCAAACATCCCTTAAACTCTGCTGACGAATGTTTCCACAATTAATCACTGAGGATGTCAACCAAAGTGAAAGCAGTTAATTGTTTAATAAGCTGCAGCACTGTGTTGTTTCCGGTACGCTACTTTTACAATGTTTTTTATACTAGAAGTTCTTCTAGTAAAAAAGTTTCTTCTTACTTAAAAAAAAAACAAACAAAAAAAACAACCCACAAATACAGAGCTAGATCAAAAACTTGAAAAGACTTTGAAAGAAAGAATCTCCACAGATTGTTCAGACTTTAAAGGAGCACTTCTACATGAAACCAAGTCTTTCTACCAGAGGAAATGACTTCCTCAGCTCCACTAACGCATCTCAAAAATGATAAAGGAACTAAGTGTAAATTTCATATGACCGTGATAAACCGTGAAGCACATCATCTGCTTCTTTCCGTCTAATTCAAGGTGTCATTCAGACTTATACAGAGTCGTGTTCTGACCATCTGTTGAACAATGCGTGAGGAGAACAGCGAGAAATTACACTTCTCTTTAGAGGCTTTCACCAACTCAAGATGGAGGGAGTATATTTGTTATTATGTGTGAGAGAGAGAGAGAGAGAGAGAGAGAGAGAGAGAGAGAGAGAGAGAGAGAGAGAGAGAGAGAAAGACGACTAGACTGTGTGGTTTGTGTCTCACCTGACACAAAGTAGCTGCTGGGAGAGAGATGAGAGTCGCTAACAGGTAATCCATCACGGAGCCAGCGGATTTTAACAGGGTCCGGAGGTCCAACCGCCTCACATAACAGCGTAAAAGGTGTGTCTCTTGTTACGTTCCAGTCCTCAGGTTGGTGGATAAATGCTGGTAGACCTACGGACGGATCAAAGAAGTGTGAGAGTATCTGGAAAAATTAGGAAGAGGAAGCTCACAATGCTTGTAACAGGTGAAAACTCACCATCCACCTCGACTGTGATTGGCTGAGACTCTACCGTCGTGGGGCCGATACTCAGTCTGCAGCGATATTCCCCGGCATCCAGTCTCAGCACATACTTAATGCTGTAATACAGTAACATGAGGACACATCATTCTGTGCGTTCAGCCCGTCCTATTCACACTTTTTCACATTTCACCATCATGTTTTACACACCTGACAGTGGAGAGGAGAGTGGTGACCCCGTCTGTGACGGTATGGAGCTCGTTGATCAACACCTGATCCTTCCTCGACAGGTCCTGGCCGTTCTTCACCCAGGTGATGGTGGGCTCCACCCTGGTATCTGGGATATTGATTGAGCAGTTGAACTTAGTCTCATGGCCCTCTGATAGCTGGATGGAGCCTATGGTGGGCTTGAAGTGCAGCTGTCTGAGCTGATCTGGAGTCAGATAAACCCTTGGAACACGGCCAGATATCACAAGAGGCTCTGAGGTCCTGGTTGGTCGGTGAAACTGGCGCCTAGAATGCTGGGCTGTTTATAGGGGGAGATGTTAGAGTATGTTATACTGACACCAGCATGCTGAAAGAAAAATAGGTTTTCTGCTTTATATAAAAAAACAAAACAAAACAAAAAACAAAAAACAAATGCACACACACACACACACACACATATATATATATATAGAGAGAGAGAGAGAGAGAGAGAGAGTAAACAATATAAAAATAAGAATCAAAGACTTTATATCAAAAGTGACTAGCCATGTGTTCACATCTTCATATTCACAAACCACCATAAAGAAGTTTTCAAAGATCATATGAGTATGTGTAAGGTTCAGAGCTAAGACTAAAGATTATTTTCATTAATCAATCAATCAGTCAACTAGTCGATCAATTGAAAGTCAGACAATAGCGAAAATGGCCATCAAATTCAATTTCTTTTTTTTGTTATTTATTGATTTACAGTGAGACAAAACAGAGAAAAGCAGCACATCCTCACATTTAAGAACCTGGACCCAGTTGATTTTGGCTTTATATGCTTAAAAACATGATGATGATGATCAAAATAGTTGGGGATTCATTTTCTGTGATTGACTACTCAATAAATTAACAAAATGTCTGAGTACTTACCAGTTTCAATGATAAAAAAAGAACACTTAGACCTAACTTTATAAATTAAACCTTTTCCTAGATTCATAGAAGCATGAATAGTGAACTTAGGCTACCAAAACAAAGACAGTCTTTCCACTGATGTTTTTAAATACTGTTCACTATTTATGGCGTGTTTTTACTGCCACTTGACTATTGCTGTCACGGATGCCACATTTTATTACTATCATTAAAAAGAAGTTAGGCCTACCGTCAGATAAACTCGTTTGGAGCTATGAAATCAGGACTTTTTTTTTTTTTAAGAGTATTTCAGGAACTCTCTCAAAATCTATGAAGAAACCCTTTAAGTTCCCCGGCCTACATAAAAATATAAAGCTATTAAATAGGTATTTAAGTCTGTTCCAGCCTATCACGCAGATAGTCCCAGGTCCCTGCTGTGCTTTGTCGACTTTAGCCTGAAATCCCACATGAAGTTAGTACAGAGAGAAAAAAAAACCCACACCAAAAAAAAAAAAAAAAAAAAACCCCCCCCAAAAAAAAAAAAAAAAAAAAAAGCACTCACCGCTGCCCGTACTCCCCACAAGAAGAACGACTATGGTCGATGAAGAGAGAAAAACTGCAAACCAGCCTGGATTTGACTTCTTTGCCATGACCGGTGTGAGCTCTCCTCTCTGCTGCTCTGTGTCCCGCTACAGCCTGCAAGCGTCCACGTCTCTGATTCCGAGCGGACTGAGCTTCAACTCCGACAATAACCCACATCAGCCACTGCGGTGGCCTCGACACAGCTTGTGCGGAGAGTTGTTGACCCTCGATCACATTTAGCTAGAAAGGGAAAAAAAAAAAGTTTACCTTTCCCGACGTCACAAGAGGGATCCCATGAAGGCGGGACCGACTGAGTGTGGAAATTCTCCCGAAATACTGAAAACAGCCAAATACTGCAGTAAAACAACAGATCAGACACTCAACAAAACCTTTACGTGAGTTTATGGATTTTTATTTTTATTTTTCCTATTATATCTTTTTTTTATTTATTTTTTGAAACAGAAAAATATGGCCTTACAATTATGATCCAATAAGCATTATGCACATGTATATTCCCCACCAACACGTACAGTAGCACAGCAGGTGATTTATTTAATTCTCAATAACAACAACAAACCCCTTTAGTAGAAAAACAAAAGCATGGCAGTAGTTAAAGTGTCTGTGCAACTCCTCCACCACGTGGTCAACTCTGGCTACTGAGCTTTCCAGATGAATCATGCCTATTGTGTTTTAATTGACATATTGTCAATTAAAATACGTTTAACCAGCCTCAGAATAACACATTTTATTTGACATAAATTGGTAAGTGGATTCAGATTAAATTTTGGTTTACATAGTAACAGCCTCTTGGAGATGGAGGTGATGACTCATGTTTGAGGTGATTTCTGTTTGATTAAACAATCTGACCACAAGCTAGTAGCTGTTCTGGAGCTTTTAATTATATGACATGATTGCTTTCAGCAAATGGTCTGTGCCCAGTTATCATGGAATTGTAGATGTTCAAATTTTCAATTTTTTTTGAGCATTAAGGTCTATGAATATATATCTGGTGATGTCTTCTGAAGATTTATGTTTATTGATGTCCACCTTTCCACAGGTGTTTTTTGTCACTGCACACATGTTGACATGTGATGAGCAGGAAAACTAAGCCTGGGACTATAAGGCCTTTGATGATGGCTGCATTCCATTTAGGTTCTCCAGGGCTCACTGGGACACTTAACTGAACAGAGCCATCATCAATATTGTTATTTAGACCTGTGCTTTTCCTGTTAGACCTGTTGACTAGGTTGAACTGATATCAGACTTGATAGGGCTCTCACTCCCATAGCAGAGTTACCTGAAAGTTTACTAAATAGGCTAATAATACATTTTCTAATAAAATAAAAAAGAAAAACATGACCAAATCCAACAAATCCCAGTCAGTCTCAAACAGTTGTATTGTAGTGTCATCTCTTATAAATTTCAAGTGAGCTCTCCCTCCTCTTTCAGGTGATGGCTCTGCTGTGGCTTGGCAGACAGTCTCATTCCCATCTGGGATCCATTATTTTTGGATTTCAGATTGCTCTTGAGTGTATTCTCTGAACAGTGGGCCTTCATACGATAAACACTGGCCTTGCTTTTACAGCAGCCCATGGCACTCATGAGCTGATATGCGTCCTTTCTGAAAGCCTTGGTGAAGATAGCATAAAGGAAAGGATTTGCACAGGAATTGATGGGGAAGAAGAGGACCAGCAGAATCTTGGAGTTTGTAACTGTGATGAGGGGAACCTTGAAGGCAGCAGAGATGGCAAAGAAGGAGATGGGTGCCATGCAGAGGAAATCTGTGAAGATCAGCACAGCCATACGCTTTGCAATCTTGGTGTCAGCACTTCTTCTTGGGAATTCGGGGTTCTTCACAGCCAGGTAGATCAGTGCATAACAAACACACACAACAATGAAGGCGCCCACATTGAAGAGCAGGATAATTATGATGAAGGCCTGAGCCAGAGGAGTCTCTATGTCCATGGGTAAGCACATGCTGACTTTGGTGTAACTGCTCACACCAACCAGGGGCAGCATCCCCATCCCCAGACAGATGAGCCAACCAGCTGCCATTATACTCGCTGCCTGTGTAAGAACCAGACGCCGTTCTACCTGCAGGGCGTTGGTGATGGTGTGCCAGCGCTCCAGGGTGATGGTGGAAAGTGTGTAGACTGACAGCTCCCCGCCAAACACAGACAGGAAGCCTGCGGCGCTACAGCCTGGTCCTGTCTGCCATTCAATTGCATGTTGGCTGTAGAAGCCACGTGTGCGCAGGTCTACAGTCGCTATCATCATAAGGTAGATCCCAATGCAGAGGTCAGCAAAGGCCAGGTGGCACATGAGGAAGCGAGGCACCATCAGCTTGTTCCGGCTGGTGAAGAAGACCAGGAGCACAGTCAGGTTTCCTGCGATAGCTAGTATGTTGATAAACCAAATGGCCACTCTGAGGAAACTGAACCCTGCGATGTCCTCACAGGGATTGAAAGCATCTGCTTCAGGTATGCAAAGCAAGGTTGGTCGGGTCGGACAGAAGTCCAGTTCTGGATAGTGGAAATTTACATCTCCGAAACCTTCATCCTTGACAAACAAGTCAACGTCTGAGAAAAAGGGCACATTCATAGCCAGAGTTGTATCTGCTGAGCCTCCAATCACACGCTGAACCCTGTTTTTAAAGGAGAGGACAAAGGAGAGGAAATTGTTCTGGTTAGTTCGTCTTAAGCTGAGGGATCCAGAGTAAAGAGTGGATAAAATGAGCAACACAGACCTCAAGTAAACAGGGGTCAAACTGTTCCAATGGAAACACCTCTTTTCAGTTTTGATGAACTACTAAGATGAGAGGCTCTGAGTTCAGTTTAACTTGAAGCAGGTTTAAGATGGGAAAACATGAGCACAACAGTGTTTTTACCTTGCTGATGGATCACTGTCATCACAATATGTGGAGCCATTAGGCCATGCAGGATTAATCGGAAAGTCCCTGGAGAAGCGGAAAGAAATAATGTAAAGACTCACTGCAAAAATATGTCAGAGACACAAACGCATTTGTGAAATACCAATACTTATATTGTATAGTTTATATACTGAGCTTTTATTGTAGTCCAGTGTCGTTTGTTTTAAGGAATTAGCAAGTTAGTAAGATCTCTGAATAATATTCTGCTTAAAGTAGTGAGTGAAAACTGCAACCGTGATGGGGCTTACAGAGATTATCCGTGAACAAATCTATCATCAATTAACCTGTAAAATGCACAGTGTGAGTCACCTGTGTGTGTTCCAGGTCAGCAGTGCACAGCAGTGACTGTTGTAGGTGAGATGAGCCTCTCGCAGGCTCCACAGTCCCTGCAGAGGAGGTAGACTCTTCAAGGCGTACGCTGACTGAGCTAACAGCACCCGAACTGACTCCAGTCCCTGTGGTGGTAGTTTTGTGAGAGCTGTCGCAGATACGTCCCTGTGAAAATAAACAGAGTGCACGTACAAGAATATAACTGCACAGGGTTGTGAACGCCTTTTTGTGAGCATTGTGCTGCTTGTACACTGCCTTAGAGCATAAAGTCTGTCAGCATCACCCGACCCACCCATCAAGCTTGATGACAAACATCCTTTTCCCTCTCCCAAATAAATCTAAGCAGATAAATGTTACATTAAGTGGATCCCAAGAGGCTTTCCAAGTATCACTTACAAGACTCCAGGGCCTGTGGCTCCTTTGAAAGCGTCTCCATGGATCACTCTGAGGTTTCGGTTATTCTTTAACAGCCTAAAAATAATAGAATTAAGAGTAAGGGAACAAACTTTAATGTTGCAAGAAACTGAAATCTTTTAATTAGAAAAAAAACTAAATGTGGGAAAGTACAGCTTATCTATCTTTGTCCCATTGAAGGCATGGTCGTGTATTTCTCTGATGCCATTGTTGTACAGGTTCCTGCAATCAGTCACAACATCGTTATGATTAAAGGTGAGGAATCACTATCTCATTGACTAACATTTATTTCTAACCAACTGACAGTTGAAAACTTTTTTCTTGCACCACTTACATTGTAACATATTCATTTGTCAGTCCATTGAAAGCATTTGGAGGTATTTCCAGTAGATACAGGTTATCACAGATATCCCTGCAATAACATGACAATTCATAATGATGCAACGTAATGTGATGGCGATGAGCCTTTTGTTTTGTATTCGTCATGAGTCTCCAAGAGTTTAGCAACAGGTGTACTCACAAGATAAACTCTGATTCCAGAGAATTGATAGATGTAATGTCAGGGAAAACTGTTATCCCAGTATTTGAGATGCTCCTGTCATGCAAAGGGAAACAAGGGAAATTATATGTCTTGTTACTTTGTAAATGGTTTGCTTCAGCAGTGTCTAATCTAATCTAAGTTATTATTTGGTGTTATTGTGAGAGAAATATAAGTAAATGTGTGTCTGATGTTGGATTTACATTGAGATTTGGTTATTTCCCAAATAAATGTGATTTTAAAACAAAACTGTTTTCAGGTCTCTCACAGGTAATGTAGTTTGGGAAGGTTGTTAAATGTCCTTCTGCCAATGTGCATCAGATTCCTTGTGTTCTGGATTGAGCTGCAAAGAAATATCAAAACATCAGTCAATACAGCAGTGCACTACATTATCATCATTATGTTAGTTATTTCATATAAGCACAGAAAAAAACTTACATTTCAGAGAGGTTGAAGAGGTTATTAAATGCTAATGTCTCAATGGTTTCCAGGGTCACACTCTGAGCAATCTCACTGAATATACAGCAGAGAAAAAGCAATCAAGTTCATACAAAGAACATTCACCTTTAAACTTTAACACTGATGGTAAAAGACAGATTGCAGACAGGGTCATCAAACAATGGACGTGCACTGAAACCTAATCTTTGACTCTATTCTATGGTATATAAACTTGCTCTGACCTCAAGGCATAGCAATCTTAAGAAGTGAAATTGTATTTTGAGTTTCAAACATTTTTTACATGATAACCCAGGGTTCAGTTAAGCAGGTAATAAAGGAAAAAAAAGACAACCTGAAAACTTAGATTACCACCTTTCATTGCAGTTATATGATTATGTAAGATTGGTTAAGTCAGAATTAGACACTGGAAGAAAACTGATACCTACATCCTCTGGACTCCTCTCAAACCCTCAAAGGAATGGCTTGAAATAGTGCGCAAAGACAAGTGATAGAGAAACCTGAAAAAGAAAGGATATGGAAATGAAAAATTACAGAAATATATTATCTCATGGATAATTTAAGACATTTAAGTAAGTAAAGAAATATGAATTTACTGAAGGAAGTTCTTGGAATGTGTGCGTGTGTGCATTGGTGTTGGAGGTACAATAGTTTGATATATGCATGAGGCTGTTAGCCTTGGATGTTCACGAATACTTATCAGGAGAGACTCAAGGTTCTGTGATTTACCAGAGGAGAGGTCAAGATTCCCCACCTTCAAGGCGTATGACAGTCTGCTGAACTCAAACTGTGAGCTCTGATGCCCAGACCCCCTATAGACTGAGAGGATGCACTGTGTACTTGACTGTATGAGCACAACTTGACATTTTCTTCACAGGTAATTAAGCAGCACCCATGCAGGGCCCTCAGGAGAGCGTGGTGTGCTGTCTTACTTTTGATAAATGAAGAAATTAAAATATATAAACATTACTCGGAAGCAGATGACTTTCAGTCTGTATGATGGGTTTATCAATATTTTTAAATGTGAAAAGAATAATGAATTTAAATGATGTAATTATGTAAATAAACCAGAACAGACAAATAATGTCTCAACACTGGTTCTAATTTGTAGGAAGAGCTTCCTAGATGGTTTAATGTCTAGAGACAAACTGATAAGATTTTTGTTGACTTTTTGGTGCTTTATATGTGGCAGATTATCTTTTTTAAGTAGTGCCGAAATGTCAGGCTGAGTTGACAAACTCTTTCAATTTAAACTTGGAGGAAGCACACGGACAATGTTCCAACAAATTTGCCAAGTACAGTCAGTACTTGTACTTAGGTAAGTAGGCTGTTGAATGGACGAGTGTTTCACCCCCAAATAACTTGTGCTGTCAGTGCGCCAAAACGAATGCCTCACGACACAGTTCAAATATACTCGAATCAAACATGACAAAAATGTTTAAAATTCAAAAAATTTTACTTAACAGTTAACCACTTTTGCATTTAAACGCATTTCTACGTGTAACCAAGCGAGTGAGTTTGAATGGATTCTCGCTCCATGCGTAAATGCGCACGGAGTAGTCTTGGTGGTGGTTTTAACAGAGGAGATCGTCGCATAAAGAAACAGACAGAAACGAATGCTATCTGTTATCCATACTATCATGCATTAACAAACACAGACCGACTGATCAGTTATCAGTTAAGATGATCAATTCACAGCTTCACTCACTCACTTTGCTAGATTGGTAAAACCATGACAGTGGTGTGAACTTACAGCCTTTTATGTCTGTGACCCAGCATCAGTGCAGAGCCCTCTGTCACATTGTTGCATCTGATGGTGTTGGAGATACAGCGGCAGATCCTCGGGCACACGAAACCCGAAGCGCACTGCCATCCATACAGGAATAAAACGGACAGGAACAAGAACACTGACAGCGACGTCCACATTGTTGTTGCTGTCTGGAAAACGTCCGAACTCTCCGGAGCCGCGGTTCCCACTAAGTGCTGCGCATGTTAATATTTGGCTCTTCCTCAAAGTCTCTTTCGCTGTAGCTGTGGCAGATCGTTGACGCACAGAGGGGACCCTCAGCCACCTGTTGCTCAGTTTCATATCAAGTGGGTGGCAAAGAGTCGGCTGAGCTTTATGTTATCATACTGATGTGAAGTTGACAAGTCACATTAATTCAGTGTAGAGGGTTGTTAAAGTGGGAATAACCTGATGGTATTCCTACATTTCCATTCCTTAATCAACTGAACACGCTCATCCCCACTTGAATGTGGCATCTTGAGGGTGGTTGTGCATTACGGGACGGTTTCCATACATGATTTACTAAAGGTGCACTGAAGTTGACTGACCTTAAGGTGAGGTGAAATAATGCCCCCCACTCTCCTGAATCTGAGTGAGGGTCATTTGCTTGTGTGGTGAGGGAACATTTAGCCTCTAAATGTAGATAATCCTTAATAGTTTTATTCAATTTTACTAGAGAGACATTGTTTTAGAGATGTACATTCCTCTGTATTGGCAGCTTGAAATAGGCTAAATGTTGAATAAAGACAACATCCCAGGGCATAATACTTGCATGTTCCACTGTGCTGGTATCTTCCTTTCATTTCAGTATTTTGACTGTGATCCCTAAAATGTTCCTTGATAACTTCTAAATATTTAGATGATAGCTTCCACCTTCCATTACCATTAGTTATTATCAAGGAAATGACTGCAGTATCCATGATGTACACTGTATACACTGTTGTGTCTGTGTTCTGCCTCCTGTTTAGTGTGAATGCACTGGTTCACCTTGATCATTTATAGCTGAATTCTGATAGTTTATGTCTGCATATAGACAGAAAACCTTCAGGGATGATGTACAGTAACACTGTCAGCATCCTTCTTCTGTTGGCAAGTATATGGTTGTGATCGGGTGTGTTTTCACTGCCACCATTTCCTTTTGATTGTGTTTGCTCACTCTTGTGTCAGTAAGTGCTGTGTATTTAAGGCTCATTAAAATGAAGATTTCTGCTGCCATACACATAAAAAGCCAAGTCAATGACTATGTCCCTCAGGAGGACAGTGTGACCCAAAGTCAAAAAACTCCCATAGCTGTATCTTGGTTGGCGCCAGTTATATTGTTGATAAAGGCAAGGCAACATTTTATAACCTTGGCACACAAAATTTTATACACATGTCATGCTGGCATTATGAAATCATGGCACTTAGATCTACAGGACTGATGAATGCCTCAGGTAAAACAGGACATGCACAAACTCTTTGAGGAATTATGCAACATATTTCTGTGAAATTTGCTTTTATTAATTTACTTGTAAAATAAATGTTCTGCTTTTCCCACCTCTAAAAATCATTAATATAATTGTGTATAACACATAGTTGTCTATCTTTTGCACTGGGTAGCTAAAGGTGAAGTTATGTACGGAATTAGTCAAAACACTGCACAAGATAAGCGAGTGAAACTACCAAGCATGGTCATATCAAGAGGACGAATAATCAAGAAACCTCCTATACTGACTGTGCCAACTGTTTCTTACCATGTCGCTATATCTCCACTAGGTGGCGACAAAGCAAAAGAAAAGAAGGAAGCATAAACCATTTCATGAGTAGGAGCAATCTAAACTATGTGAAAATGGTTAATATGATAAAACAAGCAAGAGAACGCTACCACTGATGTAGGCTACACCTATTTTCCTGTTCAAGATTTTAAAGATTTTGCCTAAAATAATTTAAATTAATGGCTGCCTAACTGTTATGTTTAAATAAATAGGTTTTGTTGTTATTGTTGTTTTGAATTGATTTAAACATTGTAAGGTACCAACAGTCAGTCACACCTGAAATGCCGTAAATTTGTGCATTCAATGCAAGGCTGCACATTTTCGTTTTGTTCTTTCTTTTGTGTACGCAAGTACATTCGTAATACGCTTATTTCCGACAGCACCTAAAGGCAGCAACATTTCCGAGGTAGTGGGGTTGGTGAAGTTGTCTTCATACGCTGATCTGCGGTCAGTGTTTGGCATGCCTCCGCAGCAACACGGAGCGCTGACAAACCGATTCCAAGCCGGTACTGACAGGAAGTATCGCTCAGGAAGTCAAAGTCGCTACTGCGACAAAAAAACTTGTCGACATAGTTAAACAGTAGACGTACAGTAAGACATATCTATAAAAATTGGACTACTCTGTTTTTAACCAGTTTGCTAGCTAGCTTCTAGCGATGGACAAGCTTCGTCGTGTGCTAAGCGGCCAGGAGGAAAATGAGGAGCTGGGTCTCACTGCACAGGTAGCTACTGTATGACAGTATACGCTGCTAATGCTAACGTCATGTCAATGGATAAAATGTATAAAAAATAGCATTGTGTTGTCTGAGACTCTGCGTCAATGTTCGGATACCTGCTGTTAATGTTAATGTGGTTTTCGTAGAGTAAGTTGGTAGCTGTAAGTAAAAACGTCGATGCATGGCAGTTTGACAGTTGGCTAACGTTAGCCAACAAAACAGTGCCACTAGCATGTTTATATTTGTTTATCTTTCCGTCTCATGCTGAGCTAGCTATCATGTTATTCTGTTGGCATTTAATGAACTGTATTTGTTTTGTTTATTTATACTTTTTACACGCTTTCACGATGAGAAGGAAATGAGGTAAGGTGCTGATTTCAAGACTGTTTTTCGTGATGTTTTTTTTATTTTTTTTAACTTGTTACAAAGTTAATGTTTCACTAGCGTCTTCAGTGCTCGAACTCCTGCTTATCTTTGCAGATTGTACTCTTTCCAATTAAACCCCTTTTCCAATAAAATCTTGATTTTATTGGTTCATTTGCCTAAGTTCAGTTTGCTGAGTAATAGTAACTTAGACCAGCACTGTGTGTGTGTTTGTGTTTTAAGATAATACTGTAGCTGGTTGTTATTTGCTATGCTCCAGCCAACATAGTTAAATCATGAGAAGGAAGCCTGTGGGTTTTTGTGCAGGTCATTAGGTTTGTCTTGTGACATCCTCCCATTGTTCTCACCAGGTCCTTGATGCCAGCACTCTCAGCTACAGCACCAGGGTGAAGTGGTTCGTCATATGCTTTGCTGGAGGCATCCTGTGTTCAATACTTGTGAGTGTCTTGGCCTTTAAAATTGAAAAAGGCAGCTTTTACGTTCTGTCTGACATATGCAATGTAGAGAATGCAGAGCGTACATAACACTGTTAGCAAAGTCCAAGTTAATCTTTTCTCTTCATCTCTGTCTTGTGTGCTGTTTGGTTTGTGGACACTCTAAACTGTCAAGTTGTGAACATGATTCAGCACCATTGCCGTCAATACACATTCTTTTTCTCTTGCACTTGCAGATTAAAGTGAATAGCACATCACCTATACTTAATTAGCACATAGAGATTGCTTTATCTCACTGAAAGTTTCAGTTTAGGAAGTCTTGTCACGGACAGCACTTGCTGATAACACTTTGAAGCCACCTCATAATGCTAATTCACACTGAGAAAGCCCTGACAAAACCTCTCTGTGGAGGCCTGTTGGTGAAATTCGCAGTCAGGATATTTCTGCACATCTGTCAACTAAACAACATTTCTTAATGTCTCTTCCATTCATGCATTTTTAAACACTTCCCTTCGTCACGTGCGCAGGCCATCTAAATTTCCCCAAAAAAATACAAGATGTCTGCCAGTAGACTTACTGATTGGCCTACTGATGACAGTTCCAGCCTCAAGAAGCCCCTCAAAATTGGTTTCCTAAACATCAGATCACTGTCTACTAAAGCATTATTGACAAATGACTTGATTCCCTCTTAGCTAACCACTTTCTATCACTGTCCTGACCACAGTAATTGTACAGACACATTCGCAAAACCATGAATAGACGGTTTTGGTTTGATCACCACTAGACACATTAAATGTGAGCAAGAACTGTGGATCATAAGAATGTGTAATGTGCATGAAGTCACACACAGAAAGAGATGACAAGCAATGAGGGGAGAGAGATGCAAAAAAGACGCTGCCAGCGAGACTCAAAACAGGTTCATGGTTGGCGTATTATGGTGTAGAAATAATCAATGTCCAAACCCCCACCCCACCCCATATGATATGGGTTTCAATTAAGTTTTGGCAGTGATTCTTTAACAAAGCCTAGCAGGCCTTGTGGTATTTTAGCATTAGGGGAAGCCTATTATGTCATTATGTTTCAGTATAATCATAGAACAGCCCACACAATCCCTTGTTTTTTTAAATTTATTTTAACAACAATAAATAACAAGATGTAAGCCTTCAGTCTTAAGGTCCAGAAATCATTTAGCTACTTGGTAAAACTACTGCCTTTTGTCCTCCTCAAGTAAAGTGTGGTGACATTATTCTGTGTAGCTGACAGGCTGTTTTGTTGTTTTAACAGGGCTCAGCATTGTTGTTCCTTCCAGGCGGAGTCAAGCTTTTCGCTGTCTTCTACACACTAGGGAATATCGCTGCTCTTGCCAGGTAAGTCCAGTCGAGGTCTGGCTGGTCTGAGTATTAACTTGATGTTGTATTTTCCTCACCAGTGTGGTGCACTGCCAGGAATGCAACAAGTAATGAGCTGCAGACTTGTACACTCTGATATAATTTTGTCTTGATAGCTGCCACACCCTGTAACAGTCATCCTTGACAAAGCTACACATTTCTTAAAAGTTTGCTTCTAAGCTCTATATAAAGAAGACACATCAATTAGTCATGCCTTTAATTTACCACCATTCCCATGTGTGCACTCAGCACCTGTTGTCCAACTCGTGGAGCACAGTGCCTGAGGAACCATGCGATTTTTTTCATTCTGATTTATTGATATTGACATTCTGATATTAATGATAAACAGTGGCAGCTACTGGTTCAGCTCAGGACTGTAGGATTACAACTGAAACGACAATCTCCATGATTTAATCAGATTAGTATTATTATTAATTATTAGCGTTGCTACAGTTTAAATGAACAGAATCACAATCACATTGCATCACTAAACATAAAGTATGTTTCATGAAAAGGTCACATAATAAAGGGTGTCAAACTATCTAAATGTAAGTAAAATTAGGCCTCCCAATAATGCCACTGCAGCATGCAGCCATATAGAGACTGTTTAAACCTACATAGAAAATGCACTTACATTATGCTAGACGGTTACCTGTGTAGAGAGAATGCACTAGCCTGCAGCTGCACATTTGTTTTAGAAGCAGAGACTGTTAATTACTACATGAATAAGAGAAATAAGTTAGGCAGGCTTACCTGTGAATAGGGATTGCACAATTCTGATTTAACACAGAAGGCACTCCAATTGCAAAAGATTATTATTGCTCCTAATTAAATTTATTTTTGTGATCTTGATTATTATTATGCGCTTAATTCTGCTTAATTATATGTTGCTTGAAAGTCAGTAAGTAATGATTGGGGATAAAGAGACAGTGGTTGGTGTGAACAGGTAAGCTGTCTGTGCCTCCTAACTGTTTGTTTTGCCATCTGACTCTGTGAGAAGAGAAGACATTAGTGTCTGCTTGCTCTGTGGTATTACACCAAGTAAATGACAGGACCTCTTTATAGAAGCATACAAGGATAATTCCTTCATGGTGACAGGGCGTCATACTAATAAATCTGTCATTACAGTGCCCTTACACAGGCAATATCTAATCTTTATGGTTTATATAATTCTAATTTACACAAAACCAAATGTGTAACTGAGCACAGTAATTTGAATTTTAAGTCTAAAACTAGTCTAAAAGTTTCCTTTTTGTTGTGTGACATTGATTTAACCAGTATTCCTAGGATCTGAGTGTGTGCTACACTGACATTAGACACTTTCTTATCCTTGTTGGTAACAGTTTTGTCTGTCTTAATTGAATGGTCCAGTAAGATTAGAATTTTATCTACACTAGATATCAGCGGCCTCCTGGATTTTACAACATCATGTATGATTTAATGTAGATAAGCTGAGGTCTAAACCCAATAATAATGTCTTTGACTTGTTTGACAGACAGTGGCTCATTGATGAGGGGTTTGTTTTCAGACAGGACAGTCTCTATTTTCAGGTATCATATGTCCAGAAGGTTTAGATGCATCAATAAACTGGGTCACCTTCTGCTCTCATAGCCTAGGTTACTGATCCAAAGCAAGTGAGTGTCATATTTTAAAAAGCTTAAACCGCTTTTCACCTGTATGTGACTTTGACAAGACAGAGACCAGTGGTTTCATCATTTCACCCACAGTAGTCATGTTGTAATGACAAACACCCTTAAATTAAAACTAATCTTTAACATGTATTATTTTGTTTGTTTGTTTTTATTATCAATAATAATAAAATCCGTTTTGACTAGCAGTCTAAGTGTTTAGCTTCAGAAAAGTCACTTCAGTTTGATACATTTTATTCTGGTGATGGGTTTCTTGTCTTTTTTTCTGTGTAACCTTGCTGTCATCCAATCTCAGTGTGTCATTTTGTCTTTTTTCAAATTAAATTTAAAATCCCAGTCCCGGTCAACCATATAGAGCATTCAGAAAGCATTCAGAACCTGACTTTTTTCACACTTTGTTATGTTGCAGCCTTATGCTAAAATCCTTAAAATTCATTTTTCCCTCATCAATCTGAGATCAATATCCCATGATGACAGCAAAAACAGAATTATGAAATTTTAGCAAATTTATATAAAAAAGGAAAAACTGAAATATCACATTGACACAAGTATTGAGACTCTTTACTCATTACTTAGTTGAAGCACCTTTGTCAGCGATTACAGCCTCGAGTCTTCTTGGGTATGATTCCACAAGCTTTTACACCTGGATTTGGGGATTTTCTGCCATTCTTCTCAGCAGATCCTCTCAAGCTCTGTCATGGTGGATGGGGACGTCCATGGACAGCCATTTTCAGGTCTCCTCAGAGATATTGGATTGGGTTCAAGTCAGAACTGTGGCTAGGCCACTGTAGGACATTCACAGACTTGTCCCTAAGTCACTCCTGCATTGTCTTGGCTGTGTGCCTAGGGTCATTGTCATGTTGGAAGTTCAACCTTCGGCCCAGTCTGAAGTCCTGAATGCTCTGAATCAGGTATTCATTAAGGATATTTCTGTACTTTGATCTGCTCAGCTTTTCCTCAACCCTGACCAATCTCCTTTTTCCTGCTGCTGAAAAAAAACCCACAGCATGATGCTGCACCACCATGCTTCACCATTGGGATGGTATTGGGCAGGTGATGAGCAGTGCCTGGATTCCTCCAGACAAGACATGGAGAATTGAGGCAAAACAGTTCAATCTTGGTTTCATCAGATCAGATCTCAGTCTAAGAGTCTTTTAGCTGCTTTTTTGCAAACTTGAAGCAGCTAGGGGAGAGGCTTCTGTCTGGTCACTCTGCCATAAATCACCAGATTTGTGGAGTGCTGCAGTTATGGTTGTCCTTCTGGAAGTTTCTCCCATCTCCACACAGGAGCTCCGGAGCTCAGCCAAAGTGACCATTGTGTTGCAAAAATTCTGTTTTCGCTTTGTCATTATACGGTATTACTTAGATTGGTGATGGAAAAAATGAATTTAAACAATTTGAGTGTGAGGCTGCATCATAACAAAAAGTGAAAACATTTGAAAAGATTTCAATACTCTCTGAATGCGCTGTAGACAGATGACTGATTTCCCTCTCTAGTCGGCAGCAGCAGTGTGTTTGTGTGGGTATCATTATTGTTTCTGTCACATTGAGCAGTTGAAAAAAAAAAAAACATCCATCCCTCTCTCCAGACCAGTAGAAAGAGCCTGCGTCAACACTGACTACTCTGGTGTCTCATCTAACAGATGTGACGCTCCACAGACTCCCTCTACCCACACAGCTCTGCTGAGCCCAGAGCTGCGTGCCTCGTCAGCGGGGAAAGCCTTTGTCTCGTTACATTTACTGACGTCACACATGCATCATGTAGGAGGTTTTAAATGTGTCATCGTGGTGTTGGGCATGAAATATTTAGCCCCCTAATGATTGCCACATGTGTCAATTTGATTGTGGTGGCCAGACAGTTCTGTCTCTCAGAAGAGATTTGTTTGTGTTTATGTACACATATATGAAGACTTCTGAAATTCTGATTCTGAAATTCGCCTAGACAATGAATAGACAATTTTTTTCCCCTGAAATATTGAGTACATACAGAGGTTTGTGTGACATATCTGCTTTAGCTGACCATGATGATGATATTTGTTCTGTTTGTCAAACCTTTGTCATTAGCATTACAATATTAGCATGCTGAACAGACAAAGAAAAGAGTGGCCCCCACAGAAACGGAAAATTAATAAACACATGTTTACAGTCTTGGCTGTTTTGTTTAATGGGCAATCTCTAAAAAGCACAATGAAATTATACCACAGTGATGAAACGTTAGCACCAGACATAACGACAAAACATGATAATAATAGTTTCCTGGATTTCTATGAAGATTCTCAGTCATCCACGCCATGGTTATCCAAGAAAAGTCCCTCACTTGTAAGTCGCTTTGGATAAAAGTGTCTGCCAGATGAGTAAATGTAAATGTGAGAAAGGTTGAATCAAGGGCAACTGGATTTGGTTGTAGATACTTGAGGACGTTTCACCTCTCATCCAAAAGGCTTCTTCAGTTCCTGGGATTAACATTTTAAACAAAAGGTTACTGTACTGTTTACTGAAGTTTGAAAAACTGTCACTTGTCTGTTTCTTTTTTGTTCTTCTAAAGCACCTGCTTCCTAATGGGACCATTAAAACAGCTGAAACGCATGTTTGAACCGACAAGACTGATAGCCACCATTGTTATGCTGGTAAATACTTTGTATTTTACTGTTACTTTGAGCTCTTATTATGCTTCACTGGACATTTATATATCTTCCAGTTTAAATTGGAGAGTATCTGAGGGCTTTACCTTTTTAATGTGTTAGAAACAGTTTTCTTAATAAATCTTCCTTGACATGAGGCAAAATTTTATTTGTCTGCTTTCACCTACCCTTGAAAGGTCTTTCTGACTTTGGATTAGAAGGCCACATTCAATTAAAGGTCTGATACTCGGCAGCCTTAAGAGGTTGAGAAGATAAAGTGACTGACAACATATTTCAACTTGACACCGTTGTTATTTTCTCTGAGATTCAGTGGTTTTCTTTGAGTTAGAATTGTGCTTCTTATAAAATGTTGAGAGAAATGAGTTGTCAGATAGCAGACATTATTCTGCAAACAAACAAGAAGATACTGTAATCGTTCCTTTCTTCTTCCACCAGCTCTGCCTTCTCTTAACACTTTGTGCAGTGTTTTGGGTAAGTAAATAATGTTAGTTTTCAAGCCTGTATATAGTTTTTATTATTTTAATGCAGAGTTATAACCATTCTTTTATTTTACAGTGGCATAAAAGGGGACTGGCTATCATCTTCTGTATTCTGCAGTTTTTGGCAATGACATGGTAAGTGTGACTTGAGACTCTAAGCCATCTCTCCTCTGTGGTACAGTTGGCACATTCATCTACTCATCACTCACACCTACGCAGATGAAGCCATCTCTCCATGATGGAGAACTTTGCTCCAGCTGCTTCGGCTTGCATTAAATGTCCGTGAGTTGATAATCACGCTGCTGAAGCCTTTAAGCTGACTTACTGCTGTCAGCATGTGCATTATCTACTTGTCACACTGTACATTCACACCACGCTATACCTGAATTTTTCCAATGTTTCAGAGCAACATATCTCAAGAGAGTTCAAATTTTTTCAACTAGCAGTATCTAGAGTAAATATTATACCACATAAGTCATCTAATGGTAATAAGAAGCACATTTAATGTAGCATGAAATATTTGATTAAACCAATTTGCCCTAGTTGGCCTGAGCATTGTTATCTGCTTGACATTAAGGTTGAGTCAGTGGTGTTGTAATAAGGCTGATAGGTAGGTCATGCCAAGTGTTTTAGGCGGTCAGTGTGTTTTTGGCCTGTAGAGGAAAAGGTAGTGCCAGGATCAGTGTGGACCTACTTGTTTTGACTCGTGTCACCCTGGCAAGTAGAGATGGACAGGTATTTCCACACAAGACAAAGTCAGTGCCAGCTGTCTCTGGGGTCATGACTTCTTCTTAAGTTCTACTCACAAGGTTTTATTGCAGTACACAAAACCGCGTGCCACGTCTTTTGTCATTTCATCTGCTTTACAAAATCATATTCATGTTTCTGTTTTTTACACAACCTAGTGTGAAAGTTATGTTTTTTTTTTTATAGCAAACTGATGGTGAAGAACTTAGATGATTAATGCCAAACATTCTCTTTTCCCTGCTTCTCAAAGTGTGAGGATTTGATGCTTATGTCATTTTATAAAATTTCAAGTAGGATATCTTTGGTTTTTGGAGTAGACGTCACCTTTTGCTCTGGAAAATTGCAGTTGCCTTTTTTGTCTGACATTTTTTGAAATTAATGATTAAAAGTAAAATATTAAAAATGTGAATAAGGTTCAGTCCTAGTTTTCATACTACTTTTAAATTCATCATCTTGCATTTGGTATTCTGAACCCTGCAGATAAATCAGACTAGCTGACTGAGAAATGAGAACATGTAGTAAGGGTCATTGAGGTTAAGTTACCGCACAGCAGTGAATAATAAGAGCTGTCAGTGATGTGTATTGGCATGTCAGCACTTGTATGGTCATCAGTTTGTGCATATTTGCACAGAAGCAACAAAAGAGTTTCAGTGTGTGAATGTGCATGGAAACAAACACCAGGAATGGACAGTTTCAGTGCATCACTGAGCAGGACTGTGTCAGCCTCATGACGACACTACTTTCGCACCTACATGTAATACATTCACTTCCGCTCTGCCTGCATTCTCAGAGGCATCGCCATGGCAACCACAAATCACACATCCCGGACTCATTCACAACAGACTGGGGGGCAAAGTGCACTCCCACACAGGCATTCAGAGGTCTGTGTGAAGGTGGTTCTGTCATAAGACGTCGCCACCGACCCACACACAGAGGTGGGCAAAGTCCAGTCCTCAGGCTGAATTCTGTGAAGTGACTATATGACACTGAAGCTTTACTGGCCGACTGAAGGAAGTAGTAACATTTCACTTGACTTATTCGCTTAGTTTGCTTATTTAGTTTGGACATTTAGAACATTAGCTTGAAAAATGTTCATAGTACTTAAACAGTTGTTACAGCTCAGATGGGACAGATGAAGGTTTCCTGCTAACTGGTGGTCAAATAAGATGGCAGTCATGCTCAGGCTTGGGCTGTAGTTAATAATCTAACTGCTGTACCAGATTCCTCACATATTTTTCATATATTAGTTTTCTGATCAGGTGCTTTTTTAGCTAAACTTAAGTTGTAATCACTTTGAGCATTCTTTTTGGATTTTTTTCTCTGCGTTTAATCTTAAATCTCAAGGACATTACATCATACATCATCATTATAAAAACAGACTGAAACTTAAACTAGAGTAAAGATCCTTGGATTTCTAATGATACCAAATATGTCATGTTGAATTACAGGAAGATGTATGAAGTGCAGTGATTTTAAAGACATACTGAACTATCTGGTGCAGCTAAATAATGGAAACTTGCCTGTAAATATTTCACTAAAGTAGCTGAACAGAATGTAAAGATAAATTTCAACTTTGAAGTCATCTCTTAGGCGAATCTAAGGGAGATTTCATATTCATTACATATGAGCACGAAATGAATACTAATGGTAGTGTATTTAAAAAATATTTCATGAGCTTGACATGCTCAATACAGTATATTCATACTTTCTTCTGTCTAATTAGTGTCTTTTACATTTACAGACATTAACTTGTGTTTAATATAAACAGTGTCTCCTCATCCTGATGTTTTCTGTTTTTCTCTTTCAGGTATAGCATCTCTTACATCCCATTTGCCAGGTAAGACAAGATGATTATATGATTTATGTTTCATCTGCATTGACCTTAAGGTGATGCATATGTCCTTTAATGTTATGTTAATTTGTATGTGTTGCTTTCTGACTAAGTCTCTATACATCTATATAAGAGTAGGCCTCTCACTTCAGCCACTTAGGAGAACTTACTGCCAAATGAGACCTTGAATACATTTTCATCTGCCATTTAAATATCTTGGTAATGCGCTGCACTGCCATACACAACAAACTGGAGGGAAAACGAGGAGCGACACTGCAATGAAAACATGTTTTTATTTACCTCTAGACACTGTTTGCCTCCACCATATGGCTGTAATCCCCTACTACAACTGGTGCAGTCTCTCAGTGTCAAACAAATGGCAGCTTGTTGTTTCACACTGTGCTGTTGCCCTGTGACGTTATTTGCTTTATCCATAATATCTAAATTAAATAATTTTTTGTGGAATAATGCTCTTTCAGCCAGATTTACCAAAGGTATTTCTCCTTCATGTAGCTTTTACACTGGTTGTTGATGAGCTTATGTTAAGCTCTCTAGGGCGGAAGCACAATACAAAATTTTAATTATATCTACACCCAAATCAAAAACAGAAAAACCCAAAACAAGGATAAAGATGCCAGCCGTTCTCACGGGTTATTTTTTTTTATTGTAGATCATATACAATATAGATCCTAATAGCATTGAAAGAAAATAGTCCCATATACTCAGGTATTTACTTCTTAAATTGTCCCATATGGTGTACCACCTCAGAGCCACGAGCCAAGCATGAGGTGTAAAGATGTTTTGTCAGTCCAGCTGTAAGCAGGGTTGTCTCATTTTGGTGAGAGGTCCAGAGCCCCCCATGCAGCCCCCTGACTAAGTGCCTTGTGTATTTGGGCGACCCCGTAATCCATTCTGACAGCTGAGAGACTACTATGGCTTCCCCTCCCCCAACCCAAATGCTAACAACAACACAAAGCTGAGACAAAGGCCTTTTTTCCCGTGCCACTCTTCCAAAAACCAAATTCCAATGGAGAAATACAAATTTGACTGCTAGTTTTAGGGCTGATTATTGAAGTCCCAGTGATCACTTGTTTATGTGTTGGTCCTTTGTTTTTATATTTCTTCCATTTTTGTCAACACATCCTCCTTAAGCTTCTTACTTTAATCCATTTTTCATTCAATTTAGATTTCATTATTGAGCTCTCTGTTGTTTGCCATGTTGTTAGAGCAGCTGCATCTGTTGATATCAGGCCTCTCTCACTCTGGGTGACACATAAAAAAGCATTAGTCTTTGCCTTTCCTATTCCTGTCTGTGGTCAAAGAAACTGTGATACCTGGCTAGCCACAACACCACATGGCCAGTGGACTTGATCCTTTAATGCATTTTACCTTGTTGCCTATTTATAACCTCTCATTCCTGTAGACCAAGGTACTAAAACCTGCTGCATGTGCACTTCCCACAGTGCTTTAAGGCTACTGTTGCTCTGATATTTAATCAGAAGTGAGGGAAAGTCTCTGAGACTGATCATTTATTCATGCAGTTTTAAATAGTATCAAGCCTCCAGTGAATAAAAAAAAAACAACCTGCATGCTGTATTGGAGGATAATATGAGGACTCTGGTGTTGAAAGATTTTGGTTTAAACACTGGAGGGACTAACCGAGGCATTTGAAGGCGCGAGTCTCCTGTCTGTCCACGACCTCCCCTCCTCCTCCCTCTTGGGCTGCTTATGATCCCCCCTTCTCCTTTTAACCTTGACGGGTTTCACACCTCCTCCACCGAAATTTGACTGTGGCTGCAGGCGAAGTCTGCATAGCAACACACTGATGGCAAGAGCAAGCGGTGTGAAGGGAAACAGTGTAGGCAAGGGTCTGCGGTTGCCATGGTGATCGCTCGCATTGCATCATCCTTCAACACAGACTACCTGGATAGCGGGAGCCCCCATCACTCTGAACATGTGGTGCTTCCCCGCCAAAACACACTCACTTATTCATGACGAGCCCCACCCTAATCATCGCAACAAAGGGTGCAAGTTGCTTTTTTTGTCACTTTTAATTCTACACGCATGACAGAATTTTGCCTCCACTGGATTCATTTATTCCTCAACAATTTTAGGACAACACTCAAGCCGCACACCGTCATTCCTTTTTTCTTGTATTTCTTTTTTTGATTTTATTTTTTTATAATGCTGCTTATAATTTGTTTTGACACTTTCTCCCCATTTTGTTGTCTCACAGGGATGCTGTGATGAAATGCTTCACAACCTGTCTGAGTTAGGACTCTGGAGTCCACAATTCAATGTGAAGACTGGTCCTGAAATGCAAACTGCAAGAACAGTGGCTCTGTAAAATATAAATCCTATGTTGTTTATACACTATATCTCCAAATTTTTACTGTGGCTTTTTCCTACTGTGAATTTTCGCTTATTAGGTCTAGCACAAGGTCTGTAACAATAATCAGATTGTAACACTCATCAGTCTTTTGCTTTTGATGAGAGAAATGAGTGCTTAATATATTTAAGATATTCCGATGTTTTCCAAGGATTTTATACAGTTTAAATGCAGGGAAAGTGCCTTAACATTGTATTATTATATAATATATATAATATACACATATATATATATATATATATATTATGTATATATATATATAAAGAGATCTGTTTACACATTGACCAACCATACATATTTACAGCTTTAACAGTGTGAAATTCTATTTTCTTCTGGATTTGTAAATGGTGTTCTTACTTCTTACACACAAACATAATTAAAACACATGGTCTTCCTGTTTTCAGTGTGTGTATGAGGCACTGATGTATAGAGAGGCTCTCGGATGTTATTCCATGTTTATATATGATCATTTTCCCTGAGGCAGTTGAGGCACTGCTTCACCGATGGTGCACTGGGATGTATGATATCCACTGCTCTTTTGAGGTTTCTCCAGCTAAGCTAAAGAGATTAAAAACAAAAAACAAGTCCTATTAGTCTTCAATATGTATTTGAACACCCCCACCCACCCCGCCAGCTCAACAAATTACATTAAAATTACTCTTAAAAAAAAGAAAAAAAGAAAAAGTGATTTCCTGCCAGATGTAGCAGTGAAGCAGTTAATTACGCCCTTCTGAGCATTGTGATTTTGACGTGACCTAATAACCCAGTATAGCTTGCATTCGGTTCCCTATATTGCTTCGGCATCGTGGCGTAGCCTTTGAGAATGTGGTTGTCATGACAACCGCCTCTGGGAAGATTCACAACCTCTGCCTACCCCCATCTGTGGTGCAGATGTGTACATTATCCTGATGAGAAGGTGTGTTTTATTTCATGACGCACGTTGGACTGGCAGTCAGTGAGGAATATATCACCAGATTTTGGTTTACACTGGGAATATATATATATATATATATATATATATATATATGTATATAAGTCTCAGCATACCAAACTCTAGTGCCTCTTATTATCCCATGCATCAACTGCAGAATTTGACCAGAAACGTGCCTCAGGGTTTTCTTTGTACTTGATGTGACTAAATAACTGCTTTTTACTTCCTGTTGTGCAGCCCCCACACGGTTTCTTTAGAGGCTTGTATAATGTTGTGGTGGATTAACACAGACACAATCTCCCTTCAGTACTACTTGTTCAACTAACTTGGTGGAGACCGTGTAAATCCCTCTCAAAGTAATCTTAGGGATAAAATCATTCCATCGAATGAAGGGACTGTGGTTGTTTTTGTGATCCGTTTTCTTTACCCGCCATTTTTGGATTACGCCAAAGTTAAAGGATGAAGGGGAAATACCCTGACCTTGGCAATCTGTTAGTGTCCCAACTGCTTCCTCTTCATTACATCTAATCCATTCTTATGTCAGAGAGAAGAGGGCTCCCACGCCACAACAGCCACTGAAATTAAACAAGTCTGTGTCCCCTGTTCAGCCTCATGATCCAGCTCATCTGGTACAGATGAATAAATAACCTGGCCTGTTTTGGTATGGGTAATTTCTATGCCATTTATTAACACAACAAGTTGTATGGTTGGCCTAACGTAGAGTGAGGAGTGAATTTAAAATAATCAACATAATTCTGGTCAAAAGAACTGTCCTGCTGGTTTTGCAGTGTAATATCCTGTTCCATTTTCTACTTGTTACATATAGGATTAGGTCAATCTGAAGATATGAAATTACTCTTAAATGTCATGTGATATGGTAATCATACGAGCAACAACATATCAGTTCATGACTCCGTGGAAAAATGTTAAACAAATTGTGAAATATGAGCATCCTCAGGCAATATCAAATAAACAGTCTAAAAACTATACATTTGGAAGGAAGTATTGATTGTTTCTTATACCCTACACTGAGGGAAACAAAATCACATTGAATCAATTGTGGAACTGTCCGGGTGAAAGCGCAGACAACAGCAGAAGGGGAGAGAAATCAATATTGTAGACTATTTGTATATTCCCTCGATGTCTTTCATAGGCTGTGTGGCTGAAAGAACAACAATGGACCATCTATACACATCAGTTTATTGACATTTGAGACTGTATTGACTGACTGAAAGGAAAAAAAGCAAGCTGCATTTTATTGTGCCAGTGACATGCTTACAGTTAGCTCTAAGCACCAAGGACCAAACAGTTGGTTTGTGATCATGTCCATATAAGGCAGGGGAGAATATCTGCTTCATTTTCAGTTAATTTGCCCGTTTGAAATAATTTATTTCTTAAGAATAAGCCCAGTCACTATACCGCAATTTTTTAAATACAATTATGGATCTTCAGATTATCTATGAAACAGATGTTGGAGTATGAATGTGTGACATAGTCCAGTGACCGGAGAACAGCAGAGCGGCGCTGTGAGAAACGATGAGGGGAATATGAGGTGGATGTGGCTCGTCGCCTGAGGAAGTTATTGGAAATTATGAAATGACATCACCAGTTTTTTCATGGCTTTGTTCGGTGCGTCTCCTGACCACGCCTTCCTGCCACCGCGATCATAAAGCAGCCAGGCTGTGTGAGTGCGTGCACCAGTTGAACTCCAGTCGGCGCAGACAACAGGTGCACTACAGCCTCCCTCCACCTCGCCGTTGGATAATGCCCACAGAGCGCTCCTCGTCGCTTTGCGCCGGGCTTCCTCATCTGCACTTTGAACATTTGCACGCTTTTATATCCTGATCGCTTCCAGATACAGAAAAAAAAATGCCTTTTCCGCCCATCAGCCTCCACCAGCGGATCTCCTCTCCTGGCAGGGAACTATTCGGGAAAAAGAAAGCCAACGGAGTGCCTCCTCAATCTGAGCTCACCAGCAAATCCGGTGGAGAGAAAGGGGGGTCCGACAAGGAGAAGCAGTCCTCTTCTTGGACCTCGGCGAATTTAAGGAATTTGGGGCGAAAAGCCCTGCAAGAGAAGCGTAAAAGCCCAGCTCAGAAGCCGGGGCCCGCTCAGGAGTCTCAGGGAAAGTGCTCCTGGCTGTCGGTGCCCAAACCTCAGGACTCATCGGAGGGAGTCAGGCGCTCCAGCTCCATGGACTCTACCAGACATCTCCACGGGAAAGACGAAGGAAAGAAGGAGATTCAGTTTACCCTCAGCCTCACCCCCGAGGCCATTCTCGTCATCCAAAAACGTAATTTAGAAAAACAGATGATGGCGAAGCAGCAGAAGTGTTGCGCCTCCGCGGACTTTCGGCACCGGCGAGTTTTTCCATCCAAAAAGACGCACGGAGGGTCCAAGGGCTGCGCTCCTGTCGCCAAAGTGGAGAGCGCCGAACAGGACATCACCGCCATCGTTAAAATATCTCTGTTGAATGATCAATACAAGTACGATGATGTGGAGTATGAGGAAGAGGATGCGGATGTGGATGAGACTGTTGTAAGGAAATGTAAAGAGTGGCTGAAAGGGGTCGAAAACGCCGCTGCTTTGGGAAAAGTGGACAAACTTTCTGCACTCCCGCACCTTAAAGGCTGCTGACACCTTACGCCTGATCTCTTACTTCTAAACTTCCAGTGAAGAGACGATGGACTCGCACTGATGTAGGCCTGCTGCGGTGGCATCCGAAATTCGAGTCTTGCAAATTGAACGTTTGTAAATGAGAGGAGAACACACTTGTCTCCAGAGGAATGTCAATTTGTCTTAATAATCATTTCCTAGAATAGACGTTACGACCTTAAAAAAAAAAAAAAAAGACATTTACTCACGAAAACAGAAATAGATGCATAAATTGCATTGGAATAAGATTAAATCTGACATTCACTTCTTAACAAGAATCAGATTTTAAAGCTTAGCTATTTGCAGCCTAACTCATCCAACAGTGCTTGTTATGGTTCACAGGGACGTTGCTTTGCGAGTTTAATGCCTATTCAATGTTTTGTTGAAGTTTGATTTTAATACCTTAATATTCTTGTCCTTTGCACATGGTTTTTGTTTTCAGCGGGGCGCCTGTGGATTGGCAGAGAGCTTTGCCTAAAGGGACGCGAAACCGTTCCTTTGTGCTGGAGAACAATAAACTGTCAACAACAGGGCTTTATTTGCGCCTGCTGCAGAAACCAAACTGGACTGTTTATTTTTCCTCTAATGAGAGGGTTATATCCTTTGTAGGGATTTATCAGTGTTGTACAGTATTTAATATTTACTAAATATTTGTACTGTCAAACGTTTTCTCAGCTGATGATTTTATGCCATTTGAAGTAAAACGTTTTTTTTTTAATTATACAAGTGTCTCTGACCCTTTTAAATCTGCTGGTTTGTGTTGTGCCTCTATAATTCTGTTACATGATGCTGGTTTGCAATCATTTAGATTTCTTTCACACTTCATGGCCGGTTCCCAGACTGTTTTTTTTAAAGGCTCTTTGTTGCCACTGTTGCTACCTGAGGCCATTTGGGCATTAGTGTCCTAAGCTTCTTAGATTTCCTGTTAAGCAGGGTTGATCAGTGTACTGTAAGGCCCAGGTGCATGATCCCATCAGGACATTACCCCCAGTCTGCTTTTCTTTTGTCACATCAAACAACACAATGCTGGCAGCTACAAGAGATAAATGTCATTGGTACAAAAATCTGGCCCATATTCTCAAAGTGCCAGAAAGATGTTCCCACTATGAATTTAGAGCTTAATCCTGACAATTCCATACTCATGTGGTCCTCACCGACCAACAAAGCACCATTTTTGTATTGTATAGGTAGCAATGAACTTGTGCAACCTAGGGAGAAAGAGCAGGCCCAGTTAAGGGCCTAGAAACAAACCAGTAAGTGACAGTTTTCAGCAAAATACACTAAACCAAACAGAGAAACGGAGCCATAAAGACACTTCTGGCTTCTTTGTTGCTTCACCTCAGCGGCCTTCATTTTATTGCACTAATCATTAAACCACTCAAAAGGAAACTTTGAAGGAAACAGCGATCGCATGCAAACCTTGGGCGCAAATGAAAAGTTCATGCAGGGTCGCAAACATAGTTAAATGTGTGTATCGTGTGGCGGTTCCCTGCAATAAGTTTTAAACTCTTTTGTATTGTTCTCTGTAACTTGGTAACCCGAGTTTTACTCAGAGTGTGGTTCACTTTAAAAGCTCAATTACAGCTTGGACAGAGGAGTGTAACGTTTAAGACGGTAGAGTGCATTTGAAAAGCTCACACACCAACGACTGGTAAGCTGTTTTTTGATAAATAAATAAGTAAATGAAATTTAAATCCTCAGGTAACATTGTCATTCCATATTATTTTGTAGTTTGATGCCAAATCATTTTTCCCATGAGCAGTGTGGCAGCCTGTTTTCTCTAAAGGCCTCAATAGTGGATTTGCCATGAGATCAGAGTGCAAAGACCTTCATCAGTCAATCATTATTCCCTCTGTTTTGGATGTACACTTGTTACCTGTTGATGTCAGAAAGGTATTTTTTAAATAACCCACTCATCAGCAGTTGAGAGTTTCACATTTTTGATGTCCTGTTATCCTGTGAAATGGCGTTTCATTCAGGCACAGATAAACACCAGAGTAATAAATCTGTTGTCAAATATGTGTCCCAGTATAACTCTGTAGGACAGTACATGCCATTACAGATGTACTCATCATGTGAGTAAACAAACAAGTTGCCAGAACACAGCGTCTTGTCCTGAATAGATGTCCCCATTCAGCGTCATAAAGTGGTTTTATTGTTGTATGTGGCAGACTGAGATCATGGCTGAGCCAGTACAGTTTGTACCAGGACCCGTTTGGTTCTCCATGACTCCTGTGATGATATTATCTACTGGCTCGGTGTCTGAAAGTTGTGTAATCCTCGTCTATTGTGTCATTTCAATTGTGGCCTTGTTTATGTGCCTCCCTGTGGTATTCATTGCTGTCTGATTCAGGCCTGAAGCTGAGCTATTCATGACTGTCCTGGGGGTGAGAACTGCATTATTATGTCTGAAGCTGCTCAAATACTTGTGCTCAATAGCAAAAGTAGAATTTAAAGAAGCAGGAGCTGGCAACAGTTGAGACGGTCGGCTTGGTTACAAAGTGGAAACACTTTTCTCCAAAGCGCCTCTTAAGGTCTTTTTCATTTGGAGTTAATAGCTCCAACCCATGCTGCAGGTCTCAGCTCTGTGTTCTCATCCTCTGCTACAAAACTGTTTCTGTTTACACCTACAGCGTCTAAAGTCTGAGCCTCTAATGAGTCATTCCCATCTAATCTTCTCGTTTTGGATCAGGAGTAAAAAGGAAATGGCTGCAGGCTTCCGTCCACCTCACTGCGGTGACATGATGTCTTGAGGAGTGACGCGGTAGAGCAGGACAGCTGCATTATCCTCCACTGATTTGTAGTGGCAGGCAGCGCAGACGGATGCTGCCTTCAGCCCGTCACTGACACTTTGCACACAGCAAGTGAGAGCAAAGAGCCGCAGGTCCCTTTGCTCTTCCGCGACAGCATTACTGTGGCAACGGAACTGATAAATCCTTCGTCTCCAGCAGCTTTTGTGAGAAAAGACAAAGCAGACACTCCCTGAACCGTCTCTGCCCATAAACTTTAGTAATGCGGTCATTCAGTGGCAGCCTGTTAAGAATGAGGCATTTCCCAGGGACAGGGCGACCTCACAGAGAAGATTTAGATCAGAGAGTACAGTCCTCCCATAAAAGCTCAAGCAGGTTTTATTCTTCATTTGAGGGTTATAAAAGGAAAGCATGGAGGTCCATATGTTTCTGCGAAGTTAATCTGCTTTGGCATGCATGATGTTACTCCCATTAGCCTTGCATTCTTTTTGTAACATGCTCCACATTTTACATTCCTTTTCATCTTATATCTCCTCCTTATACTCTCAGGAGTCTTTGCTGGGACAAGCCAACATTTGCCTCGAGATGTAGTAGTGAAATCTGTCCCTAATAACACTTCCCTCTGCAACGTCTGTTGGGCATCATTGTTCATCATCATTAAATCCACTAATTAAAGATTAAAGACACCGTTGCCCAAAATAGGCTTGGGGCAGATCATAGCCTCCCCATATTTGTTTTCAGGAAGATCAGGGAGAAAAGGTGAGGGATTTATAGGAGAGGAGGTGGGCATATTCCTCCTGCGTATCTCTTCTTTCTTTTGGCTGGGCATTGCAAGAACACAATGTCAGGCTGTTGTGTGGGAGGATGCTCTTGGCAGACGAGAGGGATTACCAAAAATGCATTCTTTTTATAATCTTCAGGCAAGATGACTGATTCACTCCCACAGCATACTTTTTTTTTTTTTTTTTTTTTTTTTTTCACTGTTGTTAGGCAGGGGATAAAGTCAAAGTCGAGCCCTGAAGGAGGAAGGCGATGCAAGACAGCAGCTCAGACCCAGACCAAGAGGCCGAGGCCCGGCGTCAGGCTCAGCTTGAGAAGGTTGATAAATATTGTACTTGTGCTGTAAGGTTTAACACATTTATTCTGCAGCCAGTCATCACAGAGAAGGCACAATAATGCAGCAAGAACAGTGTCCCTTGATCAATGCCTTCACAGTAATCAATAATTTCATCATATCTTTATCTGTAGTCAATACTGGCACATTGTTCTCTGCCTCCACACTCAAGTGATGCTTCCTCTTAGCTCACTTCCCTTCAGTCGGCATCCTTCATTTTCTCTGTTTATCCTCCAGCGCCATCTAGAGACCTACAGGAACATGCACCGTCTCAGAGACGCTCTTTATCGCCGCTATGCTGCTCTGCTCAGAGACAAGGTCCAGTCACAGAGATTACTGCTGCAGCAGAGAGACGAGACAGCCAGGCCCAAGTCACACACTGAACCTAAGCAGGTGAATCACTCAGTCTTTATTTATGTCTTGTTATGTCACGTTTTGTAGAGGTTATAACCTGCCTGACATTCGCTTTTAACACTTTCAAATGAACGATCAGCTTGTTTGTTTGTAGTAATATTAGTTTTTCAAGTTTATTGTTTCTACTGGTTGCCAACAGAGCGTTATCACACCATCACTATAAAAACCTATTAAAAGGTTTTGTGTGCACTATGAGAATTGAATTTCTAATTTATAGACTATACACAGACAATAAACAGTGGCCTGCTTCATTTATGGTTGAATGAAAATGTCTTGGAAAAAAAAAAATGCCATCTGCACGCCATTTCTGTGAGACTGTCACCTGCTTGTGTAAAAAACAATGTTATTAGACGACATAAAGCTTTGGAATTTATATGGTGTTTGTTTCATTGAAATTAAATCTTTTATTATCAGTTTGTGTCATTCATCTGGTAAGTTATATTAGACCATGCTCTGTTCAAATCGCCACAATTGTGGTTTGATCAAGTAAACAACCCTGTGTATCAAAGCCTCTTTGTTTTGACACCTTCACATTAATATTAACCTCGGCAGTCACATGCATCATGAACATGATCACGGAACTGAACCCTGCAAGTCGTTATGTCCTGCACACTGTGTGAAGTATGGACAACCACTGTTGATGAATGTGACCTTCAGTAGCAATTATTGTATGAACCTGCTTTAGTCAAACATTAACGTCTGTCTTAGATCAGGTGATTAGCAGAACCTGATCTGATAGGACGGAGGTCTAACAGATTCCATTCAGGGTTGACTGATTCTCCACAGCAGCCCAGACGTTCAAGTTTGAATTTTTCTTAAGGATTTTGGTGTCTTGGTTTCACCAATCCATTTTGGGCTTGATTTGAAATTTAAACTTTAAGAAAGTTTTTATTTATTTTTTATTTTTCAAAAATGGTCATATTGATTTTCTGTCTAAATTTGTGAACCCTTGAAAATACTTAAAATCATGTTTTTTCGATTGCACCACTTGAGGGTAAATTTCTGAAAAAATTTAATAGAAGAATTGAAACCACAAAAATTCAGAAAGATGATTTTCAAAATAACAGTACAGTATGTCAATTCTATGATTTCAGTGATTCATAGATAACATAAGTATCAACAAGTGTTTAGCAATGGCGACATTTCATGTTTCAGTTTTCAGTTGCTTATAAGATTTGAAACTTTATAGCCTTTCTTTGCTTCCATACATTTTTTTCTCCTCCCACTGTGGCCGCTGTGATTGACTTTGATTTTGACTGTCTTGTCTCTGTTGTGACTGGGTGTGAAAAGAGCAATAAGCTTCAGAGAGCGCCTGCATAGAGGGGGTCTAACAAGAGAGAGATCCTGTCTTATCTTCCTCTCCTGTAAAAGCCGAGTTTCTTCAGGAGGATGTAATTGCCCCCTCTAATGACTTGCACTAGGGGTGGTGGGGGTGCAGGGGTAAAGAGAGCACAATAAAGGACTTTAGAGGCCCTCTAGTAGGAATCCTTTGCTTCAAATTGCTTAGCAAATGAAACTACCCGTTGTTTCCTCAGCTCAGATCGAGAGGCTCTGTCACAGAGGTGAGGCAGGACCAAAGCAGGCAAAGGCATGAACACCTGCTGGGGCCTAATTGGTCCTTGCTGCAGTTGAATGGCTTCCTGTGGCTGTGTGTTTACTTCTCATTTGTTGTGTGTGCTCTGTTTCCCAGCCCCTGAAACAAGGAGGGCTCACTTTAAATCTCTATTCCCACATTTCCCGTCTCTGACTGTCTGTCTGCCTCTTTCTCTTTTCCTCTGTACTCAGAAACAAAAGAAGTTGGCTTTCTCCAAGCTGCAGCACAATGACTCATACCTGAAGTCCCTCCCCAAAACCAGTTATCACCTGGTAGGTTGCAACACTGATAGCAAAAAAAAACACCTGACTTTTGATTCACGCTCAATCCCTCTTCTGTTATGTTTCATCTTCTGTCACTGCATCTCTTTTCTGAGATCTTTGACCTCCAGAGGCAGTTAGCTGAGCGTGGACATATGAAAACCCACCACGACTTGGAGGACTTTTATAGGTGCATCAAGTATGACGGTCATCCATCACAGCTACAGAGAAGTCTGCAGGACATCAGGAGAAAGAGTTAAGTCTCAGATCCATAAACTATACTGTTGGTTTTCTTTGTCCTTGCTCAACAGTATGTGGAAAAACACTGTATGTGACTACGTACATATGTTGATGTGATGTTAACAGTGCTGGAAAGCAGGTCCGCAGCTGACTTTCAGGACAAGACTTCAGAAAAACACCCCTGCACTGCTGAAGATAGAGGACACGAGGATGACGTTTGCCACTCCAGGTTGTGACGACCTAAGTTCCAATAAGTAATGTGTCATTTGTTTACCAGATTAAGTATTGACCACCGTCAACATGCTTTAATTTTACCTTCTGTTAAACATATTCCAGTGGAAACTTTTACTAAGTAGGTTCTACGGAATAATTTTAGCCAAAACAAACATAAACATATTTGAAATAATCACCACCACTGCTTCTTTCATCATATAAAAACCTATAAGTTCACAGTTTAGATGTTCTCCTGCCACCAACATGTTTTTTTTTTTAGATAGAGTGAAAAGCTTATATCTGAGAACCTACAGTAGGTTTATGGTTTAATGTTTCAAAAGGTAGAGTCGGTATTGGTGGTCAGCTGGCAGAGGCCCTTGGTCTAAAGCTGTGAGTCCTCTGGATCTTTGTTTGCACTGCCTTCAAGAACAAACACAGACTCCACTGCAGGCTTGTTTAGTGCGGACCCTCCTGCAGGAGAGAGCTGATTACTCACGTAGAAGTGAGATGACCAAACACAATCCGACCCCTCTGTTGTGGAGACTCACCACCTCGGACGGCCGCTCCGACTCCTGCAAACATCATCCTGGGGGAAAATGTCGTAATTATGTCCACTACAAAAGAGATATAGCAATTGGGCCGGTGGTGTCACTTCATGCCAGCGCTGCGAGCAGATGTTGAAATGTTTGGAGAGTTTCTTCTCTTTTAAAGCTTTATGGGCTTCCAGGCAAACAGTGCTCCATTTACCAGAAGTGACAGAGATAATCTGAGAGCCTGTTAGACTTTCAGTTGTATTGTGGTTCCGCTCATCATTAGTTATGTAAGTTTTGGGGAACTTTCGCTTCAGACACTTCAACTAACTTTGTCTTTTAGTTTTTACACAGTTGAACCACCGCTAATTTCTTACTTCAACTGACCCTACTAGCTCAATTTTTCACCAACATTTCAACTTCTCACGGTGCTTGAACTCGCAGCACTTTCAGTTCGTCTGACATTTCAGCTTCACTCAGTGGTTTACGCCTAAACTGCCATTTCAACTTCCAACAATTTCATTTCAGCTACCACTTCAACTACCACTCCAACTGTTCCACTATTTCAACTATTTTTAATGTCTCAAATGCTAAATTGCTAAATTTCAGCAGTGAGTGCACACAAACCTTTTCCAAATTTAACTTCTTCTAGTTGAAGCTAGATACCTTGAAAGCACATAGAACATTGATTTAAGTATATTTTACATTAGAAAACTCCTTTATTCTATACCACTGTTTTTGCTTTTAAAAACATTAATCTCCTAGGACTGTTTCTCAGATCCACTGCATCTGTCCATATCACCCTCACTGTCCTTTGTGTTTACATGTTGTGAATGTGTAACAGAACAGTGTTATACTGTTGTTAATTAGGGCTGAACTCTGTTTAGTAGGAGCATGTATGTTGTTAGTACGAAGCTGCCACCGTGAAGCAGCACGTTGGCTTGGGGACATTAGGAGCTTGGTAAGAAGGCGGGTGAAGGCCTGCGCTGACAAGTCTTCCATCAGTGTGAAATCTCACCGCTCCACAGACAAACATGGCGAGACAGCAGCGCCCACCCCCCACCCCGCAAACCAGGCCTGCCTTGTGCCATAAGCACATTCCCCGCATCCATGAGAAATACCCAAAATAAAAGCAATTAGAACTGAATCCAAAATATGGACTCGGCAAAGTCCTTGGTTTTTTTTTTTTTTTTTAAGTAATGAGCCAATTTATCCAATCTGTCCTGCTTTGTGGCTATTTATATGTTTGTTATTAGCTGCTCTGATTTATTGGACAGTTGAGGCAGTAATTTGCTATCTTTGTGGCCATCTGGTCATGGTCTCTTCAACATGTTGAATTTCACAAGTGTGCAGTACAGATCTGCAAAATTAGATTGACCAGAACATACCGTGTCTATTGCTATAAATTGACCTCGATGAGTGGAAAACGTACATAAGACAGGGCCGGTCCCGCTGCCTCTTATTTTTCTAGCATCCATACTAGGCAACAGTTTTTAATGCGTTATTGGAATTTTTCATTTTCAAGTTTCCACTGCGTCACCTGTCAACACCTCATCACTAATGTTGTACATATATGAGTGCACAGGTCCACATCCTCCTTCCTCCGCCTGCGTCCTGTGCAGCTCGTGGGGTTTGTATAGATCTGTTACCTGCTGCACTGTCCTGTGAGTAAACGCTGCCTTGCTCAGGAGTCCTCCCTGGAGCCAGTTTGCACCCAGCAGACAAAGTGTGTTGTCACCCGAGTGCGCAGTGTTATCGGGTGTGAGCAGCACCGCACTATGGCTACTCTTGAGAAGTAGCACACCATTAGGAATATATTAACAACTCGACATTTTGTGTTCAGGTCACACATCACAGCAGCAAGCAGGCTGATAAAGATGTTTTTACACATTTGTAAAGGGGTGACAGTTTTTTGTTTTGTTTTCAATCATTATCTATTGGGTTAGGGTATGATTTCCTGCAGTTGGCCTTTTGTTCTTCCAGCTTTAACACTGACTCATTTCAAATGTGTGTGTGTGTGTGTATGTGTATGTGTATGTGTATGTGTGTGTGTGTGTGTGTGTGTGTGTGTGTGTGTGTGTGTGCGTGTGTGCGTGTGTGCGTGTGTGCGTGTGTGTGTGTGTGTAGATTATTAGAGCGAGGGTCTGGTTCAGGGGAGAGTTCGGCAGAGCTGATCTTCAGGGGCAGCCGGGAGAAGGATGCAATAGAGGAAATGTTTCCCAAGGTTAGTGTCAAAACCACAGGAGCAGTAATCCAACTTAACAAGGGCAGTGAGAGGCAAACGCACCTGGAGCAGTGATCACCCAACACGCATAAACTCACCCCCATAGAATACACTCAGCAGTGAGACTGTGGGATTAATAATATATTTTCTTTGTGTCAATTTTAGCCCTCCTTTCAGTTCTTCAGTTTTCTCCCATAATTCATAATTTCCTCAACAAGGAAAATACGAATTAGCTTATCTTAGCTTAGCATAAAGACTAATAAAGAATAATAAGAGGTGATAGAGGCATACAGAGCACAACTGCAAATCTTTACAGTGATAGCAGAGATCAGGGGAGAGGCTGGTGAAGAGAAAAAGAGAAAAGCAAGAACATTGGAGATGAGGTTATGCTCAGGTGCTGAGATGAGCATACACGGACGAGCACGCAGGACTCATTTTTCTCTCACCTCTGTGTCGAACTGGGCCCGAGCAAACAGAGGACGAGCCTGGATGGAGGGAGAGCCGGGGAAGGTAAACAGTGGTCAGACAAGACCGGTCAAAGCATTACTCACCGCAGCTTTGTGTTGACATCTCAGATGCACCGCTGCTGGAGAGGCCTGTCACCCCATATTGACATCCTCGGGGTGTCAATCCAAGCTTCAGGCTGTGAGTGTTTGTGAGGCACCTATAGTGCGGACATATATATGCGTGGGAACTGATGTTAGGAGACCACAACCACCATCCTTTCGTAATGTATTGAGCTGGTTATATCTGATAAGTAAGGTATTTTTGTTTTTCATGTGTTATAATTTGGCTATTTTTCAATTATGTGACTGATAGTTTAATTGTCCTGAAGCAGGGTCGCCTCTTCACTTAATCACTGAATGAATACATTTAAAGTAGAAAGTGTTGCAAAGATCAAGACTATCAGTTCTTGTCTGTGTTAGGCCACCAGTCTGCCTTTGTTTCCCTAATGTTTACATGGAGGGAAACAATTCAGTAACTCTGCAACGTCCTATTGATCCTTACAAAACAGCACCAGGCAGGTGTTAGTTCTACGCTATGGTCATTTATATGGTAATTTTTTTAGGTCACGTTTTATTACATTCATGTTTTTCATGTATTTAATGCTTATGTGATGAGTGTTTCCACATCTTTGAGCCCATTTATTACAATTTATGCCGACTGTTTCCCAAAGTGCTTTAGATATTTAATTTTTTCACAATTTGAAGGTTGCCACATGCTTTCCCTTTAGGTCATTATGAAAATCAGTAGGGACTTGAAACATGTTTTTCTTAGGTAATACATAGGTAATAAATCCTAATAAATACAAAGCATAAATGTCCCTGGTACAGCCAAAGGTACTTTGTTGTTAACTAGAAAAAGTTTTCAAAGCAATCTACACTAATAAACTACGTTATCATGCAACAGTGTCAAACTACACATACAAGTGAAGGACAAGTTGACAGTAACATCATAACTTTAGCAAATTTGTGTCTCATAAAGTTGATTTTCAAACATCCAGTTGTGAAAATGGTTTGCAGGAAAGTCAAATGATTTGTAATAAATGGGTCAAAATGTGCAAAAACACTTTTATGGTCCTTTTAACTTTTAAAAAGAAGCAAAGTGAATACATACTTGAATGTGTTTATTTGACTTGCACCTGCATTTTATTGTTGGGGGTTGGAGGAATGGGCTCAGAGATCTATACTACCATATAGAGCAGTAACATGAAGTCACAGTGCTGCAGTCTCACATCAGGAAGTGGCCAAGTGTGACAGTTAGCGCTGGGTGGGGTGTTGGAGGAGGAGAAAAGGTGCCAAATGGGACACTAGGACTGTGGGAAATAACACTGGCTATGACACCTCTGACTTTTACACCATGGTTATCTCAGCTGATACACAAGGCCGGGGATGTCTCTTTTTAAATTACTAAATGATTAATGGACAAGGAAATGATGAATGAATGTAATATGTGCCACCCATAGATGAAAGTCCCCGCATTTGCAACACTACAGCCGAACATTATGAGGAACTTCCAAAGCAAGATGCCTGATTTGGTAGGTCAGCCATTAATGTTGCCTCTTTTAGTTACACTGTGTGGTACCTCAGCACAGGACAGCGGGAGAATACGCTCATATTTACTACTTTCTCAAACCAGATTATTCCTGAGATTCCTGAGAAGAGCAAGAAAACAGAGATTTACTTGAGACGGCTGAGACAAATGCATGATCTTTGCTTAAGCAACGTGGCGTTCTCCAAAAGGTTGGTAATGAAGTAAACAGACAGAAACACAAAGAAAATGATGCACAGACATTGAGAATTTGACCTTTTTCTATGAGTTCAAATTTGGTTTTGAAGTAACGTTCAGGCCCGGTAAGGAGACAGGAGATCAGAAGCGTATTCAAGAAGTCTTTTAACTGCTCTTTAAACTGAAAGGGGTTTGTTTTTCTCTGCTTGCTGTGAACTCTGGTCCAGACTGTTGGATAGAGAGTCAGACTTGCTGTGCTGGCAGGAGGAACGAGGCGTCCAAGATTTGGTTAGTAACACAAACCAGCCACAACACAACACAGCACAACACCACAGAGCTCTATGGAAGCTAACACGTAGCTGTCACACACTATCTGCCTTTAACGTTTGTTAGGTTTTTTTTCCCTATTTTTTTTTTTTTTAATAAAGAATCCTTCATGGCACCAGGTCACACTGAATAGAATTACAGGCATACAGTGGTTATTTGTGAACATGACACTGCTGCACATATAAATCAAGTTTATATGTTATTCCATTCTTGTTCTTCCATAGATGCTTCCAGGCCTTAACTCCAAACAAGGGAAGACAAGACAAACCAACCAGCCACCTCTCCGCTCTCTGAACCAATCAGCAAGTGTCCACAATGACCGACCTTCATGTCCCCAACAGCTGAGCAGAACGACCTCAGCCAGGTGCATGAACACAAATAAGCAAAATCTTTTTTTTCTTTTCTTTTTTTTTTCATTTGTTTGTTTGAGACAAAAGACTGATTGTCACTTGACATGCTTCATGACTGGGTGTTTTCTTGGCAGCCACCGGTGTTTTGAGACCACTGAGGTTTTGGACACAGCAGTGCGCTGCCGTAAAACACCTGAGCCCTTATCCATCGAAGATGTGTGTCAACAAAATCACATACAGGTAAAATTATTTCTCAGACTGAAGTCATTTTATTTTAAAGACTGTGTTGTCTTTTAAAAGATTATTTTCTGTTCTCACTCTAGATAATTGACCGAGGGTTTAAATTGTGGAGAAATTATACAGAAAACACAGATCACTGAGGATATCACCAACTCTTTACAGGGCATATGTGTAGTGTTTTGTCCATGTCACATTGGTTAACTTACTTTTATACTGTCATACACCAGCATTACATAACAACAATACAATAATGTATTATAGTTAAATAATCATTTTCAATGATTTTCATGTGTTAGTTATTTCATTTATTTTAGTCATATATGAAATAAAGACCTATTAAATGTGTAGATTTTCTGAAATAAAAGTGATGTAATAAGAATCAGTGATGATGATTTATAGCAGCAGCTTGTTTTATTTAGTGACACTTAAATAACTGTTTGTTTGAAATAAAATTATTTAATCATAAGGCTGACTCCCCACACTTATGTTTCATTTTTTATTGTTATCAAAAAAAAAATCCCATGAAGAGACCAAACCCAAGAATGTGTTTGTGTTAAAAAATCTCAGTGATTTCTTTAAACAGCTGGGCACTGTAGTTTTTACCAAACCTTACACAAACAGGAGTAAATTGTTTATTAGTTGGTGACTATTTTTAGCTGTTGATCAACAGGCACATGTCACCTTGTACTAACAGATGTGTTTTTAATCATTTTTGGAAAACAATGGAGCTGCTCGGACAAAAAGAAACGAGCTGGTTAAAGCTAAATTAGAAACACATCTGGACTCAAATCTAAGCCTTGTGGGACTGAGGACCAGCCACGGCCCGCCGGCCAGTGGTTTAATTTCTGTAGGTGTGGCTTTGATCTTGAAGTGTCAACATTTACAGGTTGATGTAATAAAGTAGGCTAAACTTCTTTATTCAAAACGCTGTCATCCTGTGGACCTCAATGATATGGCCGCTCCCAGCCAATCAGTGACAAGCCCGCAAAGATCAAAGAGGAGATGAACCAACCACCTCTGCTCCAAACACCCGTCCTGAGATGGAGCGTCTCTTCAGCCTATATATTCGGGAGCTGTTCGTGACGTTCAGCGTCCTGACATAAACGTTGTCTTTGTGGAGACACAAGAAGAAGAAAGATATTCCGGAGAAGATTTAATATTTTCAGTAAGCACTGAGATTACAACTATTTAGCCCTGGAGCTGTTGGACAGAATGGCCGCAGGCGCTGGCGAGTGCCCCGGAAAGGCCGGTCAGTACCGGGTGGATCACCTCCTCAGTGCGGTGGAGAGCGAGCTGCAGGCCGGCAGCGAGAAGGGCGACCCCACGGAGAGGGAGCTGAAAGTCTCCCTGGATGAGAGCGAGCTTTGGCAAAAATTTAAGGACCTTACAAATGAAATGATAGTGACAAAGAATGGCAGGTGAGCTTAACTGTGCACAGAGTATTTAATAACTAGCCAGAAATATTAAACACCGCACTTTTAAAGCTAATAAATGTACTTCTTTTATTATTCTTTTCATCAAGGCGTATGTTTCCCGTGCTGAAAGTGAATGTGTCTGGATTGGACCCGAACGCCATGTATTCGTTTTTGCTGGACTTTGTATCTGCGGACAACCACAGGTGGAAATATGTGAACGGGGAGTGGGTCCCCGGAGGAAAACCCGAGCCTCAAACTCCCAGCTGTGTGTACATCCACCCGGACTCTCCAAACTTCGGAGCGCACTGGATGAAAGCGCCAGTCTCCTTTAGTAAAGTCAAACTCACCAATAAACTCAACGGAGGAGGTCAGGTAAGGAGACATGTTCGATATTGTATTTTTCTTTGTCTTTCAACGTATTTTTCATGTTTTTTCCTCTTACAAATTCATGCTTTAATTTTGAAATAAAATCAAAACTTGGTCACATAAAATTACCATCTTTACTATGTGTTTTTTTTTCAGATAATGTTAAATTCCTTACACAAATACGAGCCACGCATCCATATAGTGCGCGTGGGAGGCCCAAGGAGGATGATCACCAGCCACTCTTTCCCAGAGACACAGTTCATTGCAGTGACTGCATACCAAAACGAAGAGGTTGGAAATAAAATATTTCAAAATAACACAAGTGAATAAAAATGAATAATATAAAAAAATTAACAATGTTTATATGTTAATAATGTTTCTTGTATGCGCGTAAAATGTATGCGTAATTTACGCATGGTATTTACGCACGCTTAGGTTTATCTTCTGTGATTTTACTGTTACCAAAACTCAATCCTAATTATTTTTTGTTGTTTATTTTTGGGTTTTAGATAACTTCTCTTAAAATAAAGTACAATCCCTTTGCCAAGGCCTTCCTGGATGCAAAGGAGAGGTAAGAAAACTTGTAAAGTGTCTTCAAGATGGGAAAAAGTTCAGTCCAACAGTATGTCTGGTAGAAAGTAATGAATTTTTAATCTTGCAGAAGTGATAACAAAGACATCAGAGAAGATGCCAATGAAAACCAACAGTCAACTTACTCTCAATGTGAGTATATGCCAGTATTTATTTCTAATTTATCCAGTTTCATGTCAGACTGGTAATTTACTGTGTATGGTGCCCAAATGGTCCCATCATGTCTATTCTCTTCTGTGGAGCCAGTAGGTGGCTGGTTTATTCCTGGCACAAGCTCCCTCTGCCCTCCTGCCAGTCCTCACAGTCAGTTTGGGAGCCCCATCACCCTCTCTTCTTCCCACGGCTGCGAGCGCTACTCCACCCTGAGGAACCACCGCTCTGCCCCCTACACCAGCCCGTACGCCCATCGGACCAACTCACCCAGTGAGTGCCCTCCTCCACCTTTTACCTTCATACATCCAGGAATTACACCACTTCCTTTCCGGCTATTAACAAGAAACTCAAACAAATGTTGTTCAGCGAGGAATGTTTTGCATTCCTCTGGCTTTTGTGTGAGTGGAGCCACAGAGCTGTAAATGGCCGTGTTTCAGACGGGGAATGTATGGGCAGAAGATTCACACCTTTAAGTGTCATACTGATATCAGAGGGACAAGTCCTGAATAATACTGAGAAAACAACAGGTTTAGTGAGAAAACAACAGGTTAAGTGATAAAGGATTTGATTTCTTACAAACTATATTTGAAACCATGTGACCTGTGTACCTCATCAACCCCTGTGCTTCTGTTTGTAGCTGGTTACTCCGATAACTCCTCAGCCTGTCTGTCGATGCTATCAAACCACGATAACTGGTCCAGTCTGCAGATGCCAACACACTCCAGCATGATGCCCATGGCCCACAATTCCAACTCTGGTACCAACTCTAGGTTTGTGTTGTTTCCTTTCGTTTATTTTTATTACATCTGCTCAGAAACATGAAGAAGATGATGGAGACAGAGAAAAGTACTAAATTAGAAAAAATGTACTTAATCTCACATACAAGTATTGTAATGTGTATTGTATAAATATATCTTAAAGATTTAACACAGTGCAAAAAATAACGTCTAAAACAACCTAAGAGGAGGTGAGTAAGAAGTTTTCTTTCCATCTCTCTGTACAGTCAGTACACCAGCCTGTGGTCTGTGAGTAACTCGCCCCTGACTCCTGTGTCCCAGAATGGAGGGATAAACAACAGCCTGAGCTCCCAATTCCTTCGAGGGTCCAGCAGCCACTACCAAGGCCTGTCTCACTCAGTCACAGCGCCCTCCTCTGGCTCTCCCATGTACGACAGCGGCACAGCCACAGAGGTGCATGACACAGCTCAGTACGACACCTCCCCACAGGGGAGACTACCCTCAGCCTGGACCCCTATTACACCTCCATCCCTCTGATGGAAGGGTCTCTGCAAGCTGAGAAAGAGACGGCCATGAAGTGTTGTCTGCGGGATGTTTGATCTGATGTGACTTAAAGGAAAAATCAACCCCAAATTAAATAGGTTTTATTTGTTTGCAAATCTTAAAATTCACAGACTGGCTGCTCTCAGGAGTTTGAATTAATCCAAGAATTTTTCACTTTTCATTTGGTACAAATAGAATTCAACAGAGACTTTGAGTTTTTGAACTCAACCTTTAAATTTTACTTTGTAATGTAATGTTTCTATAAATTACCTTCATGACCTATATGTTTTATAACTCTAACAACAACAAAATTAATGTTTATTTTCATGTTTGGTTGATTTTCCCTCAGGTTCACCAGATGCTTTTGTTCAGCATAGCAGGAAAAAGTAAATTTTAATGTTTGTCACCAAAAATCATTTTTAACCTGCTTATATTAAGCGTAAGTCCATGATATTCACAGCAGTAAGCAAAAACTGTACAGCTGAAAATTGTTTATAGTGTAAATGAGAAAACAAACAAGTTTTACATGTAAATAGATAAATGAAGCTTTTTTACTACAGTGATGCTGTTTGAGCTTTACGTTCCAGATTCTTTTAAAAATGAAATGAAAAGGAGGAGTAAATGGCAATATTCTGCTATGCAGATGATGCAGAACTTTCCATGTCGTTAAAAAAACATATCCAGGTCTCTCAGGTGGCTGTTTTTGAGGCCTTGAACATGACAATAAAAACTTGAATGTGCTTTACTTCCTGTTGCTCGTTGCTCACTAACACTGCTCTTTGTGTTGTTTTTTAAGTTGTTGCACTTTGGTCGCAGTGCCCTTTTCTTTTTCTATATAGTAGAAACAATGCCACCATGGGAAATTCCTCAGTGGGCATGTTTAAAAATATCTACACAAGTGATTTGTAAAGTCAGGTTCAGGGACGTCCAGGATTTCTTCAAATTAAGTGGGGTCCCCAGCAACATAAAGGGCAGTGTGATCTGAGTGTTCTTTGGTTCCTTGGAAGAAAAAACTGGGTCAGTGGTCTAATTGGTCTTTATAAAATTTTCATCATTTCCACAGAAGTCACTCAATGTAAAGTCCAGCAACAAATAAGTTGAATATCTAACCTACACCACCAAAACTTTAAAAGGCCCACTCTTAAATATCATCTAAAACTCATCCCAAAATCCCATTCCTCTCCTTCCTGTGCTCAGTGTCTTTGTCATGCACATTCAGTGAGATGTTTGTGATTTAATGGCTGTACTGCTGATGCTTTCCTCCCCAACAGCTGCTGAAAAGAGCAAAATTAATAGAACATAATTAGAAAAATGCACTTTAAAACTTTAATGAATGAAATGCATTTTATTTTTCAGTGACGTTACTTTCAAAATATGCAGTGGAAGTGTCAGCTAACTCAGCTCATCCTCCTGCTCCCTTCTTTGAGAGTAGAGCAGTAGAGACGGAGTGTTTTGCACACATGGGTGAGGAATTACATCCGTGTACATCTGAAAGAGGGGTTGGACTGCTGGGACTGTATGGACTGTGTGTGGATGTCAGGGTGAGAAACCCCAGAGATCAACACTCAACTTTAACCCTTTCACCCTGTTCCCATTCACATCTCCCTGACATGAGGGCAGTGTTCTCCTAGAGGATAGAATTTCAAAAACACTAAATAAAATATAACTTGAAGCCTTTGGTCAAGGATAAATAAGATTTATAGTGTTTTCAAAACAATGTATTACTTATCAAAATTGCAGAACTACACGCTGTTCGATCCCCCTTTAAGTATGCATGGCGCTTTTTAGCACCATCCTGTCATAGTGCAAGCCAAGACATGCAATTTGTCAGTTAGGTGTGAAAAATGTATTAAGTCATGTCAGTGAAGGCATGACATGAAAAATGACCTTAGTGTGTTGTTTGTGTTTGACCTACCTGATTGATCTGAAATTTCTATCATATACATTTTTACATAATTTATATTCTATATATACATGTATATACTGTGCATATATATCATAATTGGCACAAACAATTCAACTTCTTCTTCAGGCATTTACATGCAATAACAGATATTTGTTGTTTCCACAATCCTTGATCTAGGCACTATTCCTTTTTTTACCCCAGTCCATAAAACTGTGATCATGGCCCCTTGACTATGGGGATATGCATTCCTGGTGCAGTCCCCGGTCATCGTCTTACCCCCACCCTCTTGCTTCTCTCAGATGAAGCTTTTTGTAAATTTCATTAAATCTGAAATCAAATTTTTTCTCACCCATAATCAGACAATGGGGAATGTTGTTCACAATGGTATGGGAATCATTGAAGGCATTCTTGATGGGGCAGGTTATCTTTTATTACACAATGTGAAAGAACTTAAAATGCTTAAGCAGCTGACAGATGATATTTTGAAAGTAGATATAAGGTACATTCAGCCTTGGATGGACATACTTAAACAATGTTTGACACTTCAAATGGAGCTCAATCTGCTCTCGACTTGCCAAGCAGAAAATCTTTACGTCTAGACATGGCTCCAATGAACAACAGTATAGGTTTCATTTGTTTAGAAATCAAATTTCTCCCCTCAATCATTTCAGCAGACCAAACAGGCTTCATCAAGAATCAGTGTTAATTCTTAAATATCAGACGTATTCCAAGTATCCTTTTTTTATCATTATCCATCTGACACACTAGAGATTTTAGGTGATGCTGAGAAAGCTTTCTATTGGGTTAGGGTTGGGTGGGATTATCTGGCCCAAAGTTTGTATCCTTATAGACAAGTAGTATCACTTTATGCAGATGATCTGCCATTATACCTTTCATATCTTCTCTCAAGTATATTAAATTTGACAAAATTTCCAACTAAAAAAATTGACCCTCAAAAAAAAGAATTATTGCCAATCAACATATCTGCAAAAAACTCCTTTAATTCTCTTTCTCCTTTTAAACAACCAACAATCAACACAAAAAGGCAAAATATCTGGGAATCTGGATTACACATAACTATAAAGACCTCTGCAAAGATAACTCCTTGCCACTGATAAGTGGTCTGAAACAGGACATTAATCATTAGGACTTGCTGCCCCTTTCTCATAGTAGAAGTTCTTAAGGTCTATAGCTATCAACCTTTGTCTGGAACAAAAAAGTCCCATGCATACAGGAATGCATAATACAAATGCCTTCCATTTTTTTTGGTACTCCTTAATTTTTTGGTTTCATTATTGAGTGGCCAACAGGCCGGGGCTAGCTGGTTAAAATGCTAACTTCAGTGGAAGACGTGATAGAGATGTGATAACATTGCTGTTGCTTTCCACCACTGCAGACAACTATTGGCAACTAAAGGAATGAAGTTTGATGCTGAACTTGCAGTGTTTCTTCTAGATTGGTAAGTAAACAGCTGTTAACGATCGTTATGTAGCAATAACAAAACTTACAAATAGCTCCTTTAAGAGTGAGATTCTTTTATTACAGGACCTCTACGTAGACAATAATTTTGCCTCTTTTGAGGAACTAGGAACTTTTTTTCAGAGCCTCACGTTCCGACTGCTTCCCCCTATATCTGCCCATGTCTCTGTTAGATGTCCAAGCTAGGAAATTATATAAAGCAGATTATAGGTAGGACATACAACTTTCTTAATCTATACGAAGACGGCTTGAATGAAATAATTCCAGATGTAATTTGGCAGAGAATTATCCATAGGATCTACTCATCATCCATTTGTCAACGGTATGCTGTTGTAAAATTACAAGATAGTACACTGTCTTCACAGGTCAAAGGTCAGATTGTTTAGAATTAGAAGAGACTTAGATTCTACATGTGACAGATGCAAGCAAGCCCCTGCAAGCGTATTACACCACGACACCAGTTCTGTCGGTGAATTTTCAATACTTTGTCTAAAATACTAAACGAGCCATTAGATATATCACCTCTTATTGCTTCATTTGGTGTTGCACCACACGGTGTGCATCTAAATAATCATAAGTACAACATACTGGCCTTCTGCACTTTGCTGGCCTGGTGGCTCATACTGTTCAGATGGAAAGACTCAATTCAGGGAAAGATAGTCTCTGAATGTTTCAGGACAGTTTCCCATCTTTGCATCAACTGAAACTCTTTTCTCTCCACCCTCATAAAACATGTGAATATTCTTCAGTATCCACTAACAGCCAGGGATCCACCCATCAAGCATCTTTCACTGAGGCAATAACTGTGTCATCTGTATGTCCAGTGTACCATAGAGCTATTTATAGTAAACAGGACGAAATGCACAAAATAATTACTTATAAATTATGGACAATTCCTGGTTTGAAGTAAACTGCTGTGCTGTCTCCCCTGCCACAGGAATGACATCATGCTGGAGATATTCATGTATCACTCTGTGGTGTTGCTGATGGTGGACCTTATGTGACCTCAAGGGTAAGTGATCAAGTCATTTACAGCTTATCCAGCTCCTTTCCTAACAGAACATCATAATATGAGGCAGCCCATGTCTCCCTTCCATGTTATTGATGATGAAGCCCACCAGGTGCCATATGGTTATTTCACAATAACTCTGATGATCCACTGACTTTTCATCTAGCACCATCATCACATCAATATTTCAGTCTGTCCAGGACTCTGATTTATGACTAAATATCTGCAGAACTAATGACATTCCCATTAAGTTCAGCTACGCTCAGAGAGTAAACATAATGAGATTTTCTTTTCCTCCTCACTGAAATTATGACATTTGTCTAATCTTTTCTTTTAACTCTTTTGGTTTGTGTTTGCATTTTCATCAATGTGCTAATACAACAAGTGAAACCTTTAATAGCACAACACAATGTTACTTGAAGAGAAAACTCAACAACATTACCCTGTGTAGAGCATATGGCGTTTGAATATCCAGACATGCAGTGTGACACAAAGTGCAGAGCAGTTCAGCTGAGAAAGTGTAAAGAAAGGCATTATGGCTGAAGTGACTTGAGGTCAGTCAACAGCACAAGAGCCCATTCAGTCCAGAAGATCAAGGTC